CCAGCCCCGTGGGAAGGCACAGCATCTTCCCAGGGCTGATGAGGTGACATCTTGCCCTGTGTCCCACGGGGAGGGCACTACCCTGGGGGCAGTGCCAGTCCCGTGGGACGGGACAGAAGCCCCCAAGTTGGTGAGGGGACACCTTGCCCTGTGGGGAGCTGGGGACAGTGCTAGCCCCGTGTGATGACACAGCAGCCCCCCAGGCTGGCAAGGGGACACCTTGCCCTGTGGGGAGCTGGGGACAGTGCCAGCCCCGTGTGATGACACAGCAGCCCCCCAGGCTGGAAGGGACACCTTGCCCTGTGTCCGTGGGAGCTGGGACATGCAGCCCTGGAGGGACAGGCTCCCGACTGGAGGACACCCTGCCCCATGTCCCGTGGGGAGGACACTGCCCTGGGGACATGCCATGCGCAGAGGGCACAGGAGCCAGCCCTGCCAGACCGCCTGAGCCCCTTCCCCTCCCCTCTCCGAGCAGGGTCCCGGCCCTCCCGGTGAAGAACCTGAACGGCACCGGCCCCGTCCATCCCGCCCTCGCAGGTAAGGGCGGTCCGGCCACCGGCTGGGTGTCACCGCCAGGTGACATCGCGGGTAGGGCAGGGGGTTGGCCCCGCTGCCAGGAGGCGGGAAGGACGGACGGACGGACGGACAGCTAGCCCCTTTCCCCTGCGCAGGGATGACGGGGATCCTCATGTGCGCCGCCGGGCTGCCCGTGTGCCTGACCCGCGCCCCCAAACCCATCCTGCACCCGCCGCCCGTCAGCAAGAGCGACATCAAACCTGTGCCCGGAGTCAATGGCATCTGCAGGAAAACCAAGAAGAAGCAGCTCAAGAAGAGTGAGGAGCCACTGCGGGATCAGGGCCACCCGTGTCCCTGAGGCACCCGTGTCCCCAGCTGGGGATTGGAGCCACCCGTATCCCTGCGGGATCAGGGACACCAGGACGTGCCATTCTCGGGGGGGAAGGAGGGGGAATGAGGCACGGGAGGGTGATCCCCCAGGGATTTGGGGTGGTGCTCAGAGTTCATTTGGGCCACATGCTGTCCCCATCCCGCTGTCAGGGGATGGCAAGGCTGTCCCCATCCCGGTGGCAGGGCCTGGTGGGGGGATCGGGGCACCGTGGGCAGGCTCTGACGCTCTCCCTTCCCCCCCTCTGCCCGCGGCAGGCAAGACCCCCGAGGACGTGGTGCGGCGGTACATCCAGAAGGTGAAGAACCCCCCGGACGAGGTGAGCGGTCACCCTGGGGGTTGAGGGGACGGGCATGGCCCCGCGCTGGGGGGAGCTCCGGGGGGGATTCCCTCATCCCAGCGGGACGCTGATGCCGGTTCTCCCGGTGCCGGCAGGATTGCACCATCTGCATGGAGCGGCTGGTCACCTCCTCCGGCTACGAGGGCGTCCTGAGCCCCCGGGGCATCAAGCCGGAGCTGGTGGGCAAGCTGGGCAAGTGCGGGCACATGTACCACCTGCTGTGCCTGCTCGCCATGTACAACAACGGCAACAAGGTCCGTGACACCTCGGGGAGGGATGGGGGCGAGGGGCGATGGGGGTGTTGGGGGTGCTGGGTGGGTGCTGGGTGGGTGTTGGTGGGGGAGAGGGATGTGGTGTGGGTGCTGGTTGAGTGTGAGGGGTTTGGGGGTGCCGGGGGGGTGTTGGGGAGTGCTGGGTGGTGGTGGAGGGGATGGGTGGACGTGGGGGTGCGTGTGGGGGTGTGGGATGGGTGCTGGGTGGATGTGGGTGGGTGAGGTCAGGGTCCGTGCCCCCCTGATGCCCTCGGGGTGCCCGCAGGACGGGAGCCTGCAGTGCCCCACCTGCAAGGCCATTTACGGGGAGAAGACGGGAACGCAGCCCCCCGGGAAGATGGAATTCCACCTCATTCCACACTCCCTCCCGGGATACACCGACTCCAAAACCATCCGGATCGTCTACGACATCCCCACCGGCATCCAGGTGAGGAGGGACCCCCGCGGGGCTGGGCATCCCCTCCCTGTGACCCTCAATGTCCCACCAATGTCCCCTCCCCACCCAGGGCCCGGAGCATCCCAATCCCGGCAAGAAGTTCACGGCGCGAGGATTCCCCCGGCACTGCTACCTGCCGGATAACGAGAAGGGCAGGAAGGTGAAACCCGGGACACTGGGATGGGGTGGGATGGGACGGGATGGGATGTTTAGGGATGGAGAAATGGGAAGGTTTGGGAAGGTTTGGGAAAGTTTGGGAAGGTTTGGGAAGGTTTGGGAAGGTTTGGGAAGGGAAGGTTTGGGAAGGTTTGGGAAGGTTTGGGAAGGGAAGGTTTGGGAAGGGAAGGTTTGGGAAGGGAAGGGAAGGTTTGGGAAGGGAAGGTTTGGGAAGGTTTGGGAAGGTTGGAAGGTTTGGGAAGGGAAGGGAAGGGAAGGGAAGGGAAGGAAGGGAAGGAAGGGAAGGGAAGGAAGGGAAGGAAGGGAAAGGAAGGTTTAGGAAGGGAAGGTTTGGAAGGGAAGGTTTGGAAGGTTTGGGAAGGGAAGGTTTGGAAAGGAAGGTATGGGAAGGTTTGGGAAGGGAAGGTTTGGGAAAGGGAAGGTTTGGGAAGGGAAGGTTTGGGAGGGAAGGTTTGGGGAAGGTTTGGAAGGGAAGGGAAGGGAAGGTTTGGGAAGGAAGGAAGGTTTGAGGAAGGAAGGAAGGTTTAGGGAAGGAAGGTTTGGGAAGGGAAGGGAAGGGAAGGTTTGGGAAGGAAGGGTTTGAGGAAGGTTTGGAAGGAAGGTTTGGGAAGGAAGGAAGGTTTGAAGGAAGGTTTGGGAAGGGAAGGTTTGGGAAGGGAAGGGAAGGGAAGGGAAGGGAAGGGAAGGGAAGGGAAGGGAAGGGAAGGGAAGGGAAGGGAAGGGAAGGGAAGGGAAGGGAAGAGGTGGGATGGAGTGGGATGGGATGGAAGGAGGATGGATGGGAAGAAATGGGATGTGGAAGAAAAGGGATGACATGGGATGGTATGGGAATGGATGGGATGGCTGGGAATGGGTAGGAATGGGATGGGAGAAGGAATGGAAGGAATGGGATGGTATGGCATAGAATGGGATGGGATGGGATGGGATGGGATGGAGGGAGAACGGTTGGGGTGGTAAGGAGTGGGATGCAGAAGAGAAGGGATGGGATGGAATGGAATGGGGAGGGATAGGGAGGAGGCAGCAGTGCCGGGGTGGGGTCGGGTTGTGCCATAGGGAAGGGTGGTACCCTGCGGGCACCGTGCTGGGGTTGAACCCCACCCCTGGGTGCTGGGGCCGTGCTGTGACCAGCGCGGGGAGGGCTGGGGGTGCCGAGTGGGCAATGCATGGCCGTGCCAGGCTGGGGGTGCCGGGTGGGGAATCCATGGCCATGCCAGGCTGGCTGGGCTGTGCCGGGTGGCTGAGCCCTGACCCCCGGCAGGTGCTGAAGCTGCTGATCGTGGCCTGGGACCGGCGGCTCATCTTCACCATCGGCACGTCCAACACCACGGGCGAGTCGGACACGGTGGTGTGGAACGAGATCCACCACAAGACCGAGTTCGGCTCCAACCTGACGGGCCACGGGTACCCCGACCCCAACTACCTGGACAACGTCCTGGCCGAGCTGCTGGCCCAGGGCGTGTCCGAGGCCACCCTCAAGGACTGAGGTGGGTGAGGGGGTGCCCCTCGCCCCCCGCCCGTGCCGCCGCCGCCTGCGCCGCTTCGCCGCAGCCCCGCCCGGGGGGCTCCTGCCCCGCCCCGCGCCACCCGGCGCCACCCACCACGTGTCCCCGCGTGTGTCTGTCTGTCCTTCCCCCCACCCCGTCCCGCTCTCGTGGCGATGCATCGTGGGCTGGTGCTTTTCGACCCGTGGCCTCTTTGCGCGTCAGCCGCCTGTGCCACCCGTGCCACTCGTGTCACCCGTGTCACCCGTGCCACCCGTGCCGCCCGCCGCTGCCCCAGGGAGCCGCGTCCAGCCGGTGCCATGTACATCTCTGTGTTACACAATACACCCCGTGCCGGGCTGGTGCCCCCGCGTCCCCTCCGTGTCCCCGCTCGGTCCCTGCGCCTCCCGCGGCCGCAGGAGGGGCCCCCCGAGGGGGCGGGCCTTGGGGGTGCAGGGGGGCTCGGAGCACAGGGGGGGCTCGGGGTTGGCTCGGGGTCTCATCACGGTGGGCGAAGGCGGCGTGGGCGATGTCCAGGTCCCGCAGCACCTCCTGCAGCCGCTGCCCGACGAGTGCTCCTGCACCCGGGGCTGGGGATCAGCGCTCAGTGCCCGCCCACTCGTTGTACCCCCTCCAACACCCACCTGTGGCACCACCCCCGGCACCCACAGCGGCACTGACCTGTTGTATCCCCTCCAACACCCACTTGTTGTGCCCACCCAGCACCCACATGTGACACCCAACCCCCAGCACCCACCTCCCAGCCAGTCCCCCCGTGCCCACCACAACTTCATCCCATCCATCCCCAGCACCCACCTGGACACACACTGCCTTACCCCCCCCCTCCCGTGGCACGGACCCCTGGGCCCCTTGGCTGCTGCCCTGGACCCCCAGGGCTCGGGCATTGGGGTGGCAAAAGGGAAAGCAGAGCAGCTGGAGGGGTGGGGGGACCCAAGTGCTGCCCCAGGGCACTCCTGTGCTGTGCCCAGCGCGTGATGGCACGGCCTGGGGACGGCAGGGATGGCCTCAAGGGGCACAGGAAGGAACCAGCCCGTGGCACGTGGGATGAGGGCAGGAATGGCTCTGCCCTCCTTGGGGTCCCCTTCATTCCCTGGGGTCTTCAGCCCTCCACTGGGTCCCTGTTCCCACTCTGGGATTCCCATCCCTCTCCAGGTCCCATCCCCTCCCCGGGGGTCCCCATCCATCCCCACCTCGTGCTGGGCCAGCGGGAAGTGCTCCTGCACCTGCCTGCAGAGCTGCTGGAAGGCCATCAGGGATGACCGGGAATGGGACCGGCCAAAAGCTGTGGAGGTGACCCATGGGCTCAGCAGCAATGGGTGACCCCTCCCACAGGGGACACAGGGATGACAAGGTGACAGGTGCCACCCCCCTCTGCCCACAGAGTCACTCCTAATCCCGGGATCAACCAGGTTGGAAAAGCCCTCTGAGATCATCGAGTCCAACCTGTGACCCAACCCCACGGTGTCACCCAGCCCATGGCACTGAGGCCACACCCAGTCTGTCCCTGAACACCCCCAGGGACGGTGACTCCACCCCCTCCTGGGCAGCCCCTTCCAGTGTCACCCGTGTGTTCCCGTGCCCATCTGCCCCAGCTCAGCTCCATCTTGCCAGGGTCCAGCTCCACGTACTTCTCCTCGATGACACGGGGCACCACGGGCCTCAGGACCTCGTGCAGGTAGGGCAGCCCCACCACCTGCAAGGCATGGGGACACCAAATGTGGCCCCAAACATCCTACTGGGACACGACCCATGTCTGTGCCCTGATGGCATCGTGGAGGGCACGGTGGGGACCTGGCCGGTGTCCCCTGCCACATTCACCTTCATGAACTGCTCCATGGACTTGGAGGCCAGCGAGCTGGAGCGGAACAGGGTGTTGGGATCAGCTGGAATGGCACAGAGGCCATGGCAAGGCGGGCAGAGGGTGATGCCCCAGCTGTCCCCGGTGTCCCCAAGGACATGTGGCATCTTCCCTGCTCCCCCTTGGCAGTCCCACTCTTTCCCCACATAGGTCTGGGGAGGGGCCCTGACTTGGGGTTTCTTGGGGTGCAGGTGGTGCCCCAGCCCTGGCACTTACTGGTCCTGGCCAGCTCATGGGTGGTGAGATAGTCCAGGAGGGGCACAGCCAGCCCCTGCCCCAGGAAGATCTTCAGCAGCTTGATGGCCACGTCCTGCTGGCTCTCCCCCGAGGTCACCTCCTCCAGGATGGCCAGGGCTGTGCCACTGGGGGGCTGTGGGGAGGGCAGGGTGGGCACGGCGAGGCCCCCACGATGGGGTAGTCCTCAGCCACCCACGAGGGTCCGCCCATCCTGCAGTACCCACCTGGTCTGGGCAGAGGACGGGCTCGGTGAGGGGCTGGTAGTGGTGGGGGGGCAGGACCGTGTCCTCCAGCAGCCTCAGCGCCAGCCTCAGAGCACCCAACTGCCCCCTGCAACGACACGAGGGGCTCAGGTGGGTCCTGTGCCCAGTGATCTCCATGGGGTACCACCCGTGCTGGCCCAGACACAGCTGCCTGTCCCCTCTGCCTGTCCCCTCTGCCTGTCCCATCTACCTGTCCCATCACTCACCCGTGGTCCTGCCTGGTGCTGGGCCAGGGCAGGAGCTGGAACCAGCCCCTGGGGTGTCCGTGCTGATGGTGTCCAAGAGAAACTCGATCTGGGGGGCCAGAGGCAGGGGCTGGGTGAGGGGACAAGCACCAGCACCCTGTGTTGGATCTCGCTGGGGGCAGAGCCCAGGACACGCAGGGTGTGGATGTGGCACTGCCCCAACCTTGTGGATCCTGAGCTGTGGTCACTCCACACCCTGGGGATGGGGGTGCAGAGGTGCCCCCAGGACCCTGCCCCGTGCTGGTGTGCCCCGAAGGTCCTCACCCGCCCCAGGAAGTCGTTCTTGCCCACGATGTCCCAGTCCCACAGCTCCACACTTGGCACAGCTCCTCCTTTGGGCAGGTCCAACTCCAGTACCTCATCCCAGTGCAGGAAATGGGTTTTCTTAACCACCTGCTGGGCACAGGGACCGGTGGCCGTGGCGAGGAGGGGCCGAGGTGCCTGAGTCTCTGGGTGCCAGCACCCCCCACCCTGACTCACGGTCATGTCCAACGTGTGCCCGACACCCGGGCGAAGGGGTCCAAGGTGCCCGAGGGATCCCGGGGGTCCAGATCCCTGTGGAGAGATGGGGGATCAGCAGGGGTGCAGTGAGCAGGGGGCACATCCCTGCCAGAATGTCCCTGCACCCCCATGCCCCTCCTTTTTCCCAGCTTGCCTGGGCATATGGGGCATCCAGGGGGTGCCAGGGGATGCTGGGGAGAGTGTTGTCCCCGTTTCCAGGGAACCCCTTCTCCCTCCAGTCCCTGGGGGGTAAATGGCCCAGCTGTGGGGGCTTTGCTGTCCCCCCCATGGCCATGCTGTCCCCGTGGCCATCCTGTTGCCTTGGTAGCCGCTTCAGTTGCCATGGCAGCGGGATGCTGGCTCTGCTGCCTGCTCCATCTGTCAGCTGTGTGTGTGTGACTCTGTGTGTGTGTCTGTGTACACTCACACACGTGCACACCCCCAAAAGCAGAGGGACAGCCTGGGCAGGGCCTCAGTTTCCCCCCAGTTTTGAAACCAAAAGGAGAATTCCCCCAATGTTGAAGCCAAAGGCAGTGTGGGAACCAACCAGTCTGATGGGGACTGACCCGGGGCACCCTGTGACCCTTTGTGCCACCTGCTCTGCTCCTTGTCCCCTGTCCCCAAGCTGGGCTGGCACCATATTCCCTGCTGAGCCCCCACAGCATTGTTGGCATCACTGCAGTCCCCAAGCTGGACACAGCGAGGGCCCTTGCTGGCGTGGAGAGGGGAGGCCAAGCCCTGTGCCACCCCTGTCCCCATTGTCTCCTCTCCTCCACCAGCCAAAAATAAGACCCCGTGGTGGTCGTGCTCTCCTGGTGGTCTCAGCCCAGCAGCCCCTGCCTGGTCTCGATGAGGTGGCAGTGCAGCACCCCCGGGTGGCCCTGCTCGGGGACACACAGCTCCAGGTGGATCTCCCCCTGCACCTCCTCGTCGGGGTTCACAGGCACGAGGCTGAGCCAGTTGTCAATGCCTGCCAGGGGGGACAGGGTGGGCACCCCGATGCCCACCCACCCCCCTGTTGCCCCCCCTACCCTATGGTGTCCTCATCCAGCACGCAGACGGTGAGGCTGCGGAAGCCACGGGGCAGGCGCAGGGTGAATTCCTCCCCCCAAAAACGGTTCAGGCTCTTCCACACCGTGGCTGTCCTGACGGGGAGGGGAGAGGTGGCTGCACCCCCCGGGAGAGCCCCTGTCCCCACGTGTCCCCTCCCAGGGTGGGGCAGTGTCCCCATACCTGGCCACCACCTCGTTGTCCACCTTGACCACACAGTAGGGATTGCTGGAGCTGGACCTGTGCAGGGGAGGCGGGTTTGTGGGGTCATCCCCCCTCCTAGGGGTCCCACCCATCCTGGGGGGCTCCTCCTGGGAGGTCCAAACCCCTCCAGTGAAGCAGCAGCCCCGGGGGTGAGGTGACTTGCTGGGTCCCAGCCCGGTTCCTGAGCTGACACCCCGTTTTCCCGGAGCTCCTGGAGCTGGGGAGGTGCTGTGGGTCACCCCAAGCTGTCACCCTGTGCCCCCCACCCACGGGTACCGCTGTATCTCCAGCAGTACAGCCCAGCCCGAGTCTCTGTGACAACCCACAATGTCAGGGTGACACTGGCCTGGCCAAGGGCCCAGCCTGGGCTTGACCCCTTCCACAGGACGGAGAGATGAGAGAAGGATTCAGGGATCATCCACCTGATCCCTGAAAAGCCCCTTCCCACTCATTTATGGCACCTGGAGTCCCAAATCCCCAGGAGATGACAGGAGGTGCTTCCACAAGGATTGAGACCCTGAGTGGGGTGAGGGAGGTGACCCCAGTCCCTGTCCCTGCCACAGGACAGGAAGCAGGAGAAGGGGACTCCAGCTGGGTTTGGGGTAACTGGGCGTGGCACTGGGCACCCCATCCTTGTGGTGGGCATCCCTTCCTCGTGCCCAGACCCCGCAGTGGGGCACCCAGCATGGTACCGTGACCCCCACCGGGTGGGGAAAGTGGGGTCGGGAGAAGCCGCTGCCCGCAGCATTCCCAGCTGGCCGGCCCTGGGAGTGGCCCCGGTGCCAGGCTGGCACATCCAGAGCAGCGTGGCACTGCCGAGCCACGTCCCCGGGGCAGGAGCAGGAGGGGGTCTTCCCGTACCCCCCTGCTCAGCACCCCCTTCCCCACAAAGGCTGCAGGTGTGGGGGTGCGGAGCTGTGCCCCCCTAGCGTTACCCACAGCCGTGGGGTGCCTACAGCAGCAAAGGGATCCTCCAGGGATCGGGGGGCTCATGCACCTCCAGCGAGGGGGGGGGGTGGCTGCACCCCCAGACCCTCATTTTGGGGGCAATGGGTCACTGCAATGGTTGCAAGGAGGGACCCCCCAAAACTGTACGGAGAGCAGAGCACCCAGGGAGAGCAGAACATCTAGGGAGAGCAGAGCACCCAGCACCCCCTCCCCCCACCACATCTCCCGTGGGAGGGTGGTCTGGGGGAAATTGAGGGTCGAGACCTCCTCTGAGCCACTCACACGTCCTTGGCGGGCAGGTCCTTCCCCTCCACCACCCGGCAGCGCAGCGAGGTGGTGTTGGCCATGCCGGCGAACTTCGAGGTGGGCACCCAGGAGTGTGCACGGGGGGCTGCGGTGGGCGCCTCGAGTTCCCCCCAAACCGCTGCCAGCACCGGCCTCCTCCTCCCCCGCCGCCGCTTCTCGCCGTCGCTTCTTCCTTTTTCCTCTTCCTCGGTTGTTTCTCTCTCCGCTCCGCTCCCACCTGCTCCTGCCCGAGCCGCGGGCGAGAGCCGCGGTGGGCACAGCTCGCGTGGGCTGGCGCCGTGCCCATCGGGAACCCCCCGCGGGGGTCCCGTCCCAGTGACCACCCTTGTGCGCGAAGCCGTCCCCGGTTCCAGCGACGGAAGAAGCAGCTGCGGGCACAGGGGTCCCCAAGACCCCCATGGGACCCCCCACAAAGAGTGCCCCCAGCCCTCAGAGGAGGGGCTGTGCTGAGTGAAAATGGGGCGACTCCAGCAGATCTTGGGGTGCCTGTGGGGGCAGCACCCCGATCCCATCGCTGCCCGCACCACCTCGACTTCTCTGCGCTGAGGACCCCGAGCCGGGGAGCTCGGAAGGCACTGGGGGTAGTGATGGGGGGTCGTCAGTGCCCTGGTGCCCCCCGCCCTCGCTGCCAGGCATAGCGGGGGCACGGGGTGGGGCAGAGGGGTGTGGAATTCGGGGTGCGGGGGTGGGCTGGGCAGATTTCTCCTACCCTGACTCACGGGGAGGCATCGCCAGGATGGGCGTCACCCAGTGGGTGAGGGGTCTTTGGGGGGACTCACTGGGGGGTGCTGGCGCTTGGGGGGCTGCTGGGGGCCTCAATGGGGCGAGCTGGTGCTTTGGGGGGCTGCTGATGGGGGGACTCGATGTGGGGGTACGAGGCCCTCGGAGAGGTGCTGGATGGGTGGGCTCAATGTGGGGGTGCTGATTCTTGAGTGGGCTGTTTGGAGGGGTTCAAAAGGGGGTGCTGGTCCTTGTGGTGCTGCTGAGGGGGCTCAGTGTGGGAATGCTGGTCCTTGGGGGGTGTCACTGCGGGAGCTGTCCCCGTGTGAGTGCTGTGTCCTGGTGGGAGGGTGTCACTGACAGGGGGTGTCACCCTGTGGGTGCTCGGGGGGAGGTCTCAGTGAAGGAGGATGTGCCCGTGTGGGTGCTGAGTCCCTGAGGGTGTCCCCGTGTGGGTTCGGGGGTGTCACTGTCCGGGGTGTCCTCGTGGGGGTTCTGGGGTGTCACTGTCCGGAGGTGTCCCCGTGTAGGTTCGGGGGTGTCAGTAACACGGGGTGTCTCCGTGGGGGTGCTCAGTCCCTGGGGGTCTCGCCGTTCCCTCCGGGCCCGGCGGCCGGGGGCGAGTCCCCCGTGAGCGCCGTTTCTCCCTCACGGGGCAGAAACGTCCCCGTCTCCCTCTGCCCCATCCCCGCCGTTCCCGGCCCCATCCCCGCCGTTCCCGGGCGGTCCCGGCCTCATCCCCGCCGTTCCCTGCCCCATCCCGGCGGCTCCAGGCGGTCCCCGGCCCGGCCCGGGCACGGGGCGGTGCCGGAGGAGGCGGCCCCGGGTCCCCTCCCCGCTCCGCCGCTTCCGCCGCCGCCGCCGCCCTGGGCCGGGCGGGCCCGGCGGGGCCGAACGGGCGGCGGGGCCGCCATGAAGCCGAGCGGGGGTGAGCGAGACCGGCGGGGCCCGGGGGCGAGGGGGTGTTGGGGTCTCGAGGTCTCAGGGTATCGGGGGCTTTGGGCTGCTGGGGCTGCCGGGGGGTCGCGGCTCTCGGGCTGACGGTCCCGCCGCGCAGAGGAGCCGGTGCTGCTGGCGGAGCTGAAGCCGGGCCGGCCCCAGCGCTACGACTGGAAATCCAGCTGCGAGACCTGGAGCGTCGCCTTCTCCCCCGACGGGGCCTGGTTCGCCTGGTCCCAGGGACACTGCGTGGTCAAGCTGATCCCCTGGCCCCTGGGGGAGGCCGAGCTGTGAGTGCGGAGTGCGGGAGCCACGGGGCCATGGAATGGTTTGGGTAGGAAGGGACCTTAAAGCTCAGCCAGTGCCACCCCCTGCCATGGGCAGGGACACCTTCCACCAGCCCAGGTTGCTCCAAGCCTCATCCAACCTGGCCTTGGACACTTGCAGGGATCCAGGGGCAGCCCCAGCTTCTCTGGGCAACCTGTGCCAGGGCCTGCCCACCCTCACAGCCAACAAGTCCTTCCCAATCTCCCATCTAGCCCTACCCTCTGGCAGTGGGAAGCCATTCCCTGTGTCCTGTCCCTCCATGCCTTGTCCCCAGTCCCTCCAGCTCTCCTGGAGCCCCTTTAGGCCCTGCAAGGGGCTCTCAGGTCTCCCTGGAGCCTTCTCTTCTCCAGGTGAACCCCCCCAGCTGTCCCAGCCTGGCTCCAGAGCAGAGGGGCTCCAGCCCTGGCAGCATCTCCATGGCCTCCTCTGGACTCGCTCCAGCAGCTCCATGTCCTCCCTGTGCTGCTTCCCAGGGCTGGAGGCAGCTCTGCAGGGGGGGTCTCACCTTAGGGTGCAGAGGGCCAGAATCCCCCCAGCCTTGACTGATACCCAGTTTGGAGTGGAGAGGGGGGTCTGGTTGGGGGGTCTCGGGGTGAACATCTATCCCTGCTTCCCCCCAGCAGCTGCAAAACCTCGGAGTGCAAGAGCTGGGGAGGAAAAGCCGAGCCCAGGAGCCGTGGGGGGGCCAAGGAGAAGACCCTGGAGTGTGGGCAAATTGTGTGGGGCCTGGCCTTCAGCGCCTGGACGGCAGCTGAGGAGGGGGACACAGATCCCACCTGTGCCCTGGGGCTTCCCTGCCTGGTCCTGGCCACCGGGCTCAATGACGGGCAGATCAAGGTCTGGGAGGTGCAGACAGGTGAGGGGGCCTTGCTGTCGTGGCTTCAGGTTGCTGTCCCTCTTCAGGCTGCTGCCTCTCCCCTTGCTCCCCCGTAGAAGGAGATCCCATCTCCATCTTTCCCTGATCCCTCCCCTGCCCTGTCCCTGGGCACGAGGGGCACTGCCGTGGAGAGACAGCGCTGAGGATGGCTCTTCTCCTCAGGGCACCTCCTCTTCAGCCTCTTGGGGCACCAGGATGTCGTCAGAGACCTGAGCTTTGCTCCCAATGGAAGCCCCATCCTCGTGTCGGCCTCGCGGGACAAGACCTTGCGTGTGTGGGACCTGAGCAGAGATGGTAGGAGCCTGCAGGGATGTGCAGGGACAGGCCTGGCTCAGGAAAAAGGAGGGAACCCACCTGGGGCTCAGGAAAGGGGGAGAAACCCACCTGGGGCTGAGGAAAAAGGAGAGAACCCACCTTAGGCTCAGGAAAGGGGGAGAAACCCACCTTGATGTTGGGAGAGGACCTTTGGGGACAGTACTTGAGGCAGAAAGGGACAGCCCTGTGACAGGGAGCAGAGCCATCCCCTTCCAGGTGGGACCTGGGAGGTGCAAGAGGGAGTTGCAATTAGGCAGAGCTCAGGAACCCCCAGCCCAAGCTGGTCAGAGCACAGTGCCAATAATGCCGAGGTCGGGGGTTTGATCCCTGCAGGGACCATTCACTGACAAGCTGGACTCGATGATCCCTGTGGGTCCCTTCCAGTCAGAATATTCTGTGACTGTGTGAGTTGCTGCTGGGAGCTGGCTGTCCTGCTGCCCTCGGGTGACACGTGTGCTGTCCCCAGGGCGGCAGGTACAGGTACTGACTGGCCACGTGCAGTGGGTGTACTGCTGTTCCATCTCCCCGGACTGCAGCATGCTCTGCTCCGCCGCCGGAGAGAAGTCGGTGAGTCCCCTGCAACGGGAGCCATCCCTGTGTCCCGCTGAATCCATCCTCCGTGTCCCCCGGCACGAGGAACCTCCTCTGCATGGAGCTGGGAGGTGCTCCCAGCCTGATCCCCATCCCTGTCCCTGTCCCTGTCCCTGTCCCACAGGCGCTGCTGTGGAGCATGAGGTCCTACACCCTGATCCGGAGGCTGGAGGGGCACCAGAGCAGCGTGGTGTCCTGCGACTTCTCTCCGGACTCGGCGCTGCTCGTCACCGCGTCCTACGACGCCTGCGTCATCATGTGGGACCCCTACACCGGGGAGCAGCTCCGGACCCTGCGGTGCGGGGAGGGGGACGCTGTGGGAGGGGGCACGGCAGCGCCATGGGGGCTTTTAGGGCTGGGTGTGACCTGCCCTCCTAGCTGGGCACGGCCACGGTCTCTGTGTTGTGGCACAGAGAGGGGGACACACCGTGGGATGTGGCAGAGCAACGCTGTGGGGGTTTTTAGGATGAATGTGGCTTTCCTCCTAGCTGGGCACCACCACCCCCTCTCCCCTGAGCCCAGGGGCAGGATGGGGGGCTGGCTTGGCAAGCACTGGGGAAGGGGCTCCTGGCAGCCCAGGGCTGACATTGGGATGTTCTCCCCCCACAGCCACGTGCCCCTGCACTCCACGCTGGATTACAGCAGTGACATCCACAGCAGCTCCCTGCGCTCCGTCTGCTTCTCCCCAGAGGGTCTCTACCTGGCCACGGTGGCAGATGACAGGTGAGTGAACCCCCCTGGGCACCCAGGAGGAGACTGGAACAAACCAGGAGCTCAGGACATAGGGAATAGACCTCATGTACCAGGTCCCCACCAATTCTCGGAATAGGGAAAAGGGCAGGCTGTGGCCAAGGCCCTGTCACCCCTTGGAGCAACGAGCCAGGGCCCATGTCCTCCTCCTGCATGTCATGCCACCCTCACTGTGCCCCTCAGCATGTCACTTGCTGTGCAGGGGACAGACCCAAACCCATGGGAAGCAAATCGTTCTCCAGTGTTCGTGCTCTCAGGCGATCCCAGAGGCTTTGTTCTGGCAGCGGGCACTGCGTGAATGTGGACCTGGCATTGTGTCCTCTCCCTTTCTCCACAGGCTCCTGAGGATCTGGGCGTTGGAGCTGCGCTCTCCGGTGGCCTTTGCTCCCATGACCAATGGTCTGTGCTGCATCTACTTCCCTCACGGAGGTTTCATTGCCACAGGGTGAGTCAACAGCGGGAGAGGGCGGAGAAACAAGTGGCTGCTCCCTCCTCCTGCAGCTCTGGCTCCACTCCGGGCTTCCCTGGGCGTGCAGGATGGTTTTCCTGGGCTGTGGCAAGCTGGGGATCTTTGGGGGTGACTGGAGCTCCCTGCCCCATGCTCATGGCTGGTTGGACGCCGTTGCAGGACCAGGGACGGCCACGTGCAGTTCTGGACGGCCCCGCGGGTGCTCTCGTCACTCAAGCACTTGTGTCGCAAAGCCCTGCGCACCTTCCTCACCACCTACCAGGTCCTGGCGCTGCCCATTCCCAGGAAGCTGAAGGAGTTCCTCACTTACCGGACTTTCTAAGGTGGCAGGGAAGGCGGAGGCGTGGAGGGGAGGGCCCTGTGCCCGGTGGCAGGGCCGGAGGCACCGCAGGAACGCTGAGCCGTGAGCCGTGGGGGAGCAGAGCTGCCGCTCCCCTGCTTTTCGGGGCCGTGTGTGGGGCTGTGGAGGGTTTTTTTTCGGTGTAATAATACTAAAACCCAGCAAAAACACGTGCAGAGGGCGAGGGGCAGAGCTGGGAGAGGACGCAGGTCCCCCTGTCCCCACTGGCTGCAGGGTTTGGGTCAGGTGCTTCTGCTTCCGAGTGCAATGGTGTGGGGTGGAGGCTGAGCGGGGCTCTTGTCACTCGTACGAGTTGGGGGCTGAAGTGCTCCCGGAACACCCTCCTGCCCCGGGATCGGTGCTCAGTCCCACTGGAGCGTGGGCTGTGCCGCTCCCCCGCTGCAGGCAGGAGCTGGACAAGCCCAGGCAGGTCTCTGTGGACTAAATAAAAACTGGTTCCTCACGTGTCCTGGATCACAGAGCTGCCCTGGGGTGCCTGGCACGTGTCTGGCAGAGCAGCTCGTGTCCAGGTGGGACACGAGGCTTCACTCCACCCCCAGCTCCTGTTCCTTTGTTTTTATTCCATGTTGGAGCGTGGCACTCAACCAGCCCAATCCTCGGACACGCTGAGCACAGAGCAGTGGTGTGGTGTGGGTGGTTTTCCCCCTCCTCCAGCACATTCCCTGCATGCTGGAGGGCTCAAGTCGAGGCTGGGATGGAGAAGACAGGGAAAGTCTCCTCCAAACATTCCCAGGAGATTCTTTTCCCTTGTGGACAGCTGAACACAGAAAGCTGGTGGTTCCCTAACCCAGGAGGGAAAAGCAAGACCAGTGCAACATGCTGGGCTTTAGAGGCACCTGTATTTCCTGATGCAGCTTGGGAGTAACACTCCTGTGTCCTGGCTGCGGGTTCCAGGCTTCCAAAATGGGAAGGGAAAGCTGCAGGGAGCAGCTCCAGCTCCATCCCTCCCATCTCCAGTGAGATCCAAGCAAGGATCCACCTAGCAGGAGTCAGGCTTCGGCCACCACCAGGTCCCTGGTGACTTGGAAGGCAGCGATGAGGGAGCTCAGCTGGATCTTCTCACTGGTCCCAGCGGCCAGGCGGTACCTGGAGCAGGGGCCAAGGGCAGGGCTGGGGGTTTGCACCCACGGGGGTGCCCCCCAAAGACCCCAGAGCAGGGCTGGGGTCTGCCATGGTGCCCACCAGGACCCTGGCACAGGGGAGGTGACACTTACTCGATATCTGCCATCTTGATCAGTAGCTGGATGCGGATGGAGGGTGGGAAATCCACTGGGGAGAGAAGGGGACACATCAGTGTGGGCTGGGGGGGATGTTGGACCCCCCCCCCCCAGGTCAGCCAGACCCCCCATGTCCCACCTCTGTGCACAAAGAGGTGGATCTCGGTCAGGATGTCCTGCAGGGCCAAGCCCTTCAGCGTCTTCAGCTCCGTGATTTCTGGGATGGCAGCGAGTCAAGGCCTTGCTTCCAGGCTTTTCCCTGCCAGATCCCACTCCTCATCCCTGTGACAACCCCGAGGAGCCTCCCCAGCGAGCCTCACCCAGCCCAGCCACAGCGGGACGTCCCAGGATGGAGATCCCCAGGAAAGAGCCAGATTTATCCTGGGAGGGAATAACCCTCAAGGCAAAGGATACTTCGATAGGCAGTGGAGAAGTCCTGGTTGAGCATCCAGTCGAGGATGTTGGCGATGTCAGACTTGAGGGGGTGTCCTGTGCATGTGTAGACGTTCTCCTCTGTCACCTTCCCGAAAGCCATGGAGGTGCTCTGAGGGAGAGGAGGGATAGAGGAGGGATCAAGAGGAAGGATGAAGAGGCCCCCCCAGGCCAGGTGCCAGCCACGGTCCCACCTGCAGGATGTTGAGGGCCCTGCGCATGTCACCGCTCGAGAGGGTCACCAGAGCCTTCAGCCCGTCCTCCGTCACATCCACCCTGGAAAACGACACGGGGGCTGCACGGGGAGGCGGAACCGCGGGAATCCCAGCCCGGGGCTCGGCTCCACGCCGGGAATGGGGGTGAGGAGGGTGCCCCTTGGCCCCCCGCTGACCCCTCCTGCAGGATGACGTGCTGGAGTCGTGGCACCATGAGCTCCGGGGTGAGGGGCCCGAAACGGAAGCGGGTGCAGCGGGATTGCAGGGCGGGAATGATCCTGGACAGGTAGTTGCAGATGAGGCAGAACCGGGTGTTCTCGGTGAACTTCTCGATCACTGCCAAGAGGAGGGAGCAGAGGATGGGGCTTGGCTGCTGCCTCGTCCCAGTTCCCAGCCTGTGCCAGGATGGATGAGGCTGGCTGGGTGCCCACGGTGTGGGATTCCCAGGGTGAGGGATTCCCGGGGTGTGATATTTCACAAGGTGTAGGATTCCCAGGGTGGGACTGCCAGGGGGTGGCATTCCCAAGGTGTTCGATTCCCAGGGTGTGGGATTCCCAAGGGGTGGCATTCGCAGGGTCCGGGATTCCCAGTGTGGGATTTCTAGCATGGGATTCCTAGAGCGGGACTCCCAGGGTGTGTGATTCCCAAGGTGTGCGATTCCCAGGATGTGGGGTCCCTCACCTCTCCTCAGGGCATTCTGGGCATCCTGGGTCATGGCATCGGCCTCATCCAGGATAACGAGCTTGAAGCCTTTCCTTAAAAAGGGGGAATAAAAAGGGAGTGGGTTCAGTCCCAACTGTGGGCTTGGTGCTGGAAAAGGGGGAGCTGGGATGTTTATGCCCATCTGGAGAAAGGGGAGCTGGGATATTTATTCCCAGTCTGACTCCTGGGAGCCCTCCTTCCCCTCCGGACTGACATCTGTATCCTTACCACTTTCATCCCTCTGGGCACATCCTGCCCCTGCTTCCCCACCCCAGGACCCCCCAGATCCCAATCCCAATCCAAGTGCCAGGGCAGGGGGTTGCCAAAGGGACAGGGAGCTTTGGGAAGCACAGACATCCCACTCACTTGAAGATGGTCCTGGTGCTGGCGAAGCTCAGGATGGGCCCCCGGACGATGTCGATGCCCCGGTCATCGGAGGCGTTGAGCTGGGGTTGGGATACGGATGGGGTGGATCTGGATCCCTGCCGGAGGGGGCACCCCCATCCCATCCCACCCCATCCCATCCCATCCCATCCCATCCCATCCCATCCCACCCCATCCTATCCATACTACTCCATCCCTTATCTCATCTCATCTCATCTCATCTCATCTCATCTCATCTCATCCCATCCCATCCCACCCTATTGCATTCCATCCCTTCTCTTCCCATCCAATCCAACCCACTCCATACCTCCCATCTGACCCCATTCCATTGCATTCCACCCCATCCCATCCTTCACATCCTATCCATACCACCCCATCCCTCCTCATCCCATCCCATCCCATCCCATCCCACCCCACGGCATTCCATCCTTTCTCTTCCAATCCATCCCATTCCACCCCATCCCATCATTTCTCTTCCCACCCCATCTTATCTCTTCCTGTCTTGTCCCATCCCATTCCATCCCACCTCACACCACCCCATCCCATTCCTTTTCTTCCCATCCCATCCATCCCACTCCATTCATTCTCATCCCATCCCCCTCCGTCCCATCCCTTCTCTTCCCATCCAACCAATCCCATCAATTCTTTCTCACTGCATTCCACCCTCCTCCATCCCATCCCATCCCATCCCATCCCATCCCATCCCATCCCATCCCATCCCATCCCATCCCATCCCATCCCATCCCATTCCTTCTCTTCCCATCCATCCAACCTACTCCATCCCTTCCCATCCCTTCCCATCCCATCCCATCCCACCTCCCACCACCCCACCTCATCCAACCCCGCTCCACCCCATTCCTTCTCTCCCCATCCCATCCATCCCACCCTGTGCCATTCCATGATTTTCCTTCCCCCCACTCACCTCCAGCACCATGGAGCCGAATTCCCTGTCCCGGTAGAGCTGCCTGGCACAGGCCAGGATGGTGGATGTTTTCCCGGTGCCAGGAGGGCCATAGAGGAGCAGGTGGGGGAGCCGATCCTCGCTGATGAACCGCTGCACTGCGGGCACCGGGACACCGGGATACGGAGATGGGGATATGGGGATACCGGGACACCGGAGATGGGGATAGTGGGATATTGGGATATGGGTGTACTGGGGTATTGGGACACCACGATAGAGGGATATTGGGATATGAGGATATCAGGACACCAGGATACTGGGATATGGGCATATGGGGATATCAGGATACTGGGACACTGAGATATTGGGGCACTGGGGTACCAGCATATGGAGATACTGGGATATGAGGATACCATGATGCTGGGATATGGGGATACCAGGAAACTGGGATATCGGGACACCGAGATATGGGGATATTAGGATACCAGGACATTGGGATATGGGGATATTAGGATACCAGGACATAGGGATATGGGGATGCCGGGACACCAGGACATTGGGACACTGGGATATGGGGATATAGGGATATTGGGACACGGGGATATAGGGATACTGGGACACGGGGATATCGAGATTACTGGGATATGGGGGTATCGGGACACCAAGATATGAGGATATTGGGATACTGGGACACTGAGATATGGGAATATTGGGATATCGAGATTACTGGGATACGGGGATATGCTGATATCGGGGTATCGGAATGTCGAGATGTGGAGATATCAGGATGCAGGGATGTTGGTACACCGGGATATGGGGATATGCAGCTCTCGGACTATCAGGATACCGGGCCACGGGGCTCTGGGGACACGGCTCCGGCCGGGGGGGGTGTTGGTTACCGGTGCTGAGGATGTCCCGGTGAGACACGAGCTCCGACAGCGCCTGCGGACGGTACTTCTCCACCCTGCGCCGGGGAGGGCACGGAGGGGTCAGTGCGGCGGCAGCTCCCGCCGTTCCTCCATCCCGTTATCCTTCATTCCCGTTATCCCTCATTCCCGTTATCCCTCACTCCCGTTATCCCTCATTCCCGTTATCCCTCAATCCCCCCGGCCCGGCCGTACCACGGCAGGTTCGCGCCTCCCGCCGGCGCCATGCTGAGAAATCTCGCGAGAGCCGCAACGCGCGCGAGAGCTCAGGCGGGGGGGGGCCGGGTCTGGGGGGAGCGGGAGCAGCCGCTGGATCGGGAATGGGGGAAACTGGATCGGGAATGGGGAACCTTGGATCGGGAATGGGGGAAATTGGATCGGGAATGGGGGAAACTGGATCGGGAATGGGGAACCCTGGATCGGGAATGGGGGACCCTGGATCGGGAATGGGGGACCCTGGATCGGGAATGGGGGACCCTGGATCGGGAATGGGGGAAACTGGATCGGGAATGGGGGAAACTGGATCGGGAATGGGGAACCCTGGATCGGGAATGTGGGACTCTGGATTGGGAATGAGGGACCCTGGATCGGGAATGGGAAACCTGGATCGGGAATGGGGGATCCTGGATTGGGAATGGGGGATCCTGGATTGGGAATGGGGGAAACTATTGGGAATGGGGGACCCTGGACTGGGAATGAGGGACCCTGGATCGGGAACAAGGGAAACTGCATCGGGAATGAGGGAAACTGGATCGGGAGTGGGGGATCCTGGATTGGGAATGGGGGACCTCAGATCGGGAATGAGGGAGACCAGATCGGGAATGATCAAACCCATATCGGGAATGATCCAAACCTGGATCCGAAATTATCAAACACAGATTGGGAGTGATCCAACCTGTATCGAGAATGACTCAAACCTGAATTGGGAATGATCTGACCCCGGATAGGGAGTGATCCAACCCGGACTGGGGATGATTGGAACCTGGATTGGGAATGATCAAACCTGCATCCAACCTGGCCTTGGATACTCCCAATGATCCAGGGGCAGCCACAGCTTCTCTGGGCAACCTGGGCCAGGGCCTGCCCACCCTCCCAGGGAACAATTCCTTCCCCATATCCCATCTCTCCCTGCCCTCTGGCAGTGGGAAGCCATTCCCTGTGTCCTGTCCCTCCATCCCTTGTCCCCAGTCCCTCTCCAGCTCTCCTGGAGCCCCTTTAGGCCCTGCAAGGGGCTCTCAGGTCTCCCTGGAGCCTTCTCCAGGTGAACCCCCCCAGCTGTCCCAGCCTGGCTCCAGAGCAGAGGGGCTCCAGCCCTGGCAGCATCTCCGTGGCCTCCTCTGGACTCTCTCCAGCAGCTCCACGTGCTCCCTGTGCTGGGATCCCAGGGCTGGACACTGTTCCCACTGGGATCTCACCTGAGAGGGGCAGGATGCCTCTCCCCTGCAGGGGTGGAATGAGGTGACCTTTAAAGTCCCCCTGTACCCAAGCCATTCTCTGATTCCATGACTGTGGGAATGCTTATGGAGAGACCACAAAGCGGAGTGGTGACTGTGATCCGGTGGAAATCATGGCAGCAGCAATTGCTGGATCAAAGTGGTGGGCATGATTTGGGGGAAACTCAGTGCCCCTGACATTGGAAAACCCTTGGGATGAGAGAGGGGCACCTTTGGGTGCAGGTGGGGGCCAGGGGCAGCAGCTCCAGGGATTCCCTGGGCTCCGGAGGAGAGGAAACCTGCTGGGATCATTTGGAGCAGCAAACTCCAGAGGTGGCTGCGAGAAGGGAACACCTTAATCCCTATTCCTGCCACTTCCCAGTGCATCTGGAAAAGCCCTGGAGCCTCCTCAGAGAAGAGGCTTACAGGGGAGAGTTAACCCAAGCTGCTGGAATGATGCTCCAGTGCTGCTCTGGATCCCTTGGAATGAGGAAAGCAGGTGGGAGTGAGAGGTGCTGGCTTGGAGAGAGCAGGCAGAGCGATGCTGGGAAGAGATCCCTTGGGAAGCAGAAATGCTGGGGGGCAAAAAAAAATCCCATTGCTGAGAAGGAAAGGGAGAACATCAAGAGCTCCAGGCTGGATCCCACAGAAACCCAAAAATCTGCTGGAGAGCACCTGCCTCCCTACTTTTATTCCCATTTATTCCCCTATTTTTTTCCCTACAGCCCCAGGAGGAAAAGCAGGAGCAGGAAGCTGAGGTCAGCCAGGCTCAGGCATCCCTCCGGTGACAGATGGCCCTTCCCTTCCCACCAGGAGCTGGGAGGCTCTTCCCGAGCACCTGGGAACAGACAGGAGCTGCCACCTGCAGCCTCAGGATTCTCTGGCACATCCTGGATCCAGAGCTGCTGATCCCCATTGGATCCAGGGCTGCTGCTCCCCAAAATGTTGAGGAAACCAACAGAAGTGAATTAAAACATTCCAAGATGTATTTTATGTGAATCCACTGTGCCATCCCCAGTGCCTGGAATGCTGACCCACCCTCTGGACCGTGCCAGCCCAGCTCCCGGTGGGGGAGCTCTGCCATCGGCTGCAGGAGGGTTTTTTTGGGAAGTGTGAGGTTTGGTGAACCCCCCAAACCTCTGCAAGTCTGCTGGGGGAGACTGGATGGGAGTTTTTTTCCCTGCAGAGTCTCCCCGTTTGCACTGTATTTTATTTATTTAATTTATTTTTTAATTTTATATTTTGTTTTATTTCCTTTCCCAATTCCTTCCTTTCCCTTTCCTCCCTTTCCATTTCCCTTCCTCCTTTTCCCTTGCCTTGCCTTGCCTTTCCTTCCCAAACCTTCCCAAACCTTCCCTCAAACCTTCCCAAACCTTCCCACGTTCCCATATTTTATTTTATTTTATTTTATTTTATTTTATTTTATTTTATTTTATTTTATTTTATTTTATTTTAATTATTATTTTATTTTAATTTTTATTTTGTTTTTCTATTCAGTTCTTTTCTTCTTCTTCTTCTTCTTCCTCCTTTTATTATTTCTATTTTCCCAGAAGTGGCATTTTGACCCCTTTGGATGTATTTTCCTCCCCTTTCTCTCCCCCGGTAGCATCGGGGGGACCTGCTGGCATTTCCCACCCCGGGTGTCCCCCTGAGCCCCCCATTTACAGCCACCCTTTTTTTTTTTTGACGGGGGGGGTTTGGCTCGTGCTCTCCCACGGGCTGAGAGGGAGCGGGATGGGGATTCCAGCTGGGAATAAAGTCACGGGGGCGAAGGCAGGGCAGGAGCAGGGGCTGGGGAAGGGTCTGGAAGCACCGTCCTGGCTCCGGAATAATTCCTGAGTGTGTTGGCCACGCTTGGCCCCCATTGCACCAGGACCCCCAAGGATCCCAATGCCCCAGACTCCCCCCATTCCCCCCCTATTGCCCCAGAGCCCCTCCAATGCCCCAGACCCCCCATTTCCAACCCCTCTCATTACATCAGGTCCCCCATTTCTTCCGACTCCCAATACCCCAGCCCCTTCCTTGCCCCTATTGTCCCCCATTGCCCCAGGCCCCTAATGCCCCAGTCCCCCCAGTGTCCCCAAAGCCACAGAACCCCCATTTCCAGCCCACTCATTCCACCAGCCCCTAGTGCCCCATTTCCCCCATTGCCAAGGTCCCCCACATTCACTGGCCCCCAGATGTCCTCTAATACCCCAGACACCCCATTTCCAGCCCCCTCATGCCCCCCTCATGGCCCCATGTCTCCCACATTCACCACATCCCCATTGCCCCCCATTGTCCCAGACCCCCATTTCAGTCCCCATTGCTCCAGACCCTCCCCAATACCCAGACCCCTCCTTGCCCTATTGTCCCCCATTGCCCCAGGCCCCTAATGCCCCAGTCCCCAGTGCCCCCAAAGCCACAGAACCCCCATTTCCAGCCCACTCATTCCTCCAGCCCCCAGAGCCCCATTTCCCGTTGCCAAGGTTCCCCACATTCACCGGCACCCCAGTTGTCCTCTAATACCCCAGACACCCATTTCCAGCCCTCTCATGCCCCCTCATTGCCCCATGTCTCCCACATTCACCACATCTCCCATTGCCCCCCATTGTCCCAGACCCCCATTTCCAGCCCCCCATTGCTCCAGACCCCTCCTTGCCTACTGCCCCCATTCCCCAACCCCCATTGCCCCATCCCGCTCCCAATGCCCCAGCCCCCTCATTGCCCTAAGCCCCCATTTCTCCACTGCCCCCAATGCTACAGCTTCCCCAGACCCTCCCTTGCCCCCTCATTGCCCCTTCCTCCCCTCCCCACTCACAACGTCCCTCCAGATCACATCCCCTCACACCCTCCCAGCGCTCCCCACCATCCCGGGGACAGAGGGATGGGGATGAGGATGGGAGGGGATAGAGGATGGGGAACTGGGGATGGGAATGATGGGTTGGATGGGGATGAGGGGGATGAGGATGGGGAGTGGATGGGGAGATGGGGATGGGGAGATGGGAATGGGGGAACTGGGGGTCAGGAGAGTGATGGGGATGGAGAGGGTGAGGATGGGGAGATGGTGATAAGGATAGGGAGGTGTGGGGATGGGAGAGAATGGGAATGGTGGGAGGGAGATGGGGATGGGGGAGATGGGGATGGAGGGGTGGATGGGGAGGTGTGGGGGTACTGGGATGGGGCTGAAAAAGTGATGGGGCTGCGGGCTGGGAGGTGGGTTGGGATGGGGCTGGAGGGATGGTGATAAGGATGGAAAAGTGTGGGGATGGTGGGGATGGGAGGAAGGTGATGAGGATGGAGGGTGGAAGTTGGATGGGAATGGAGGGCAGGTGATGGTGCCGGGGGTGCCGGGGCTGGGGATGATGGGGGTGATAGGTCTGGGGTGACGGAGCTGGGGGTGCTGATGAAGACGGGGAGGTGCGGAGGATGAGAGGGGTGGGGGAAGGTGATGAGGATGGAGAGGTGTGAGGAAGGGGGGGGATGGAGGGAAAGTGATGGGGAGGATGGGGATGACGGGGACGGCGGGCAGTGACGGGGCCGGGGTGGCGGTGCCGTGCCCGCGGCCGTGCCCGCGGCCGGGGGTGTGCGGGGGCTCCGCGCGGAGCGGCGCGCAGCGAGCGCGGCCCCGCGGAGCCGGAGCGCGCCGCCCCCGCCCCCGCCCGCCGCGCCCGGGAGGCAGCGGCGGCGCCGCGCTGACGGCTCGGTGGGCACCGCGATGCTGCGGGGCCCGGCGGAGCGGGCTGAGCGCCGGGGGCCGCCAGGAAGCCGAGGAAGGGGGCCGCGGCGGCGGCGGGCGGAGGGAGGGAGGGCGGGCGGGGAGAGGGGGCGCGGCGAGCGATGGATGAGGACAACATGACGAGGAGCGAGAGCAGGAGCTGAGTCTGCAGAAGGCGCTGCAGCAGTGCGAGCTGGTCCAGAACATGATCGACATCAGCATCTCCAACCTGGAGGGGCTCCGCACCAAGTGCGCCGCCTCCAACGACCTCACGCAGAAGGAGATCCGCACCCTGGAGGTACGGGCCCGCCGAACCCCCTCCCCAATACCAACATCGACACTCCCCATCACCACCACCCCCCAGGGCCGCGGCGGGTTCCCCCGCGGCGCTGCGGTGCGACCGAGTGAGGCTGCGCGCTCTGCAGGTGGCTCCGAGGTGGGTCCGGGACCACCGAACCCTCCTGCCGGCACCGAGCGGGGGCCGCCCGCGGCGCCGGCCCCCGCCATCCCCCGCCATCCCCCTGCCATCCCCCGGCCCGGCCGCATCGCTCCGCCGGGCTCCTCCTGGCCCGGCAGGCAGCATCCCTCGGGCCCACCTGCATCCCTCGGGCCCACCTGCATCCCTCGGGCCCACCTGCAGCCCCCTGGCCCAGCTCCATCCCTTCCACTGCGCTGCATCCCCCGGCCTGGCCTCATCCCTTCCTCCCAGCTCCTGCTTCAGCCGGGCTGCATCTCCTTCCACCGGGCTGCATCCCCTCGGCCCACCTGCCTCCCCTTATCCCTGCTGCCTGGCTCCATCCCCCTGGCCTGGCTGCATCCTTTTCCCTGGGTTATATCCCTCTCGGCCCACCTGCTGTGGGGCTGCATCCTCCTGGCCTGGCTGTCTCCCTCCCACCCGGCAGCGTCCTCCTGGCCCACCTGCATCCCTCCCACTGGCCTGCATCCCTCGGGCCTGGCTGAATCCCTTTCCCTGAGCTGCATTCCCTCGGCCCATCTTCCTCCCACCCACCCAACTCCGACCAGCCCAGCTGGCTGCATCCTCCTGGCCCACCTGCATCCCTCCAACCTACCTACACCCCTCCTGGCCCACCTGCATCCCTCCATCCCACCTGCATCCCCATGGCTCATTCCCCCAGCCCATCTTCATCCCCTCCATCCCACCTGCTTCCCCTCTATTCCCACCTGCATACTCCCATCCCACCTGCATCCCTCCTACCAGGAGCATCCCCCTGGCCTGGCTGCATCGTCCCCTCCGTACTCCTGCCTCCAAAGGGGATGAGGTTCCCCTTGGAGTGTGCTGAGCCCAAGCTGGGATGAATTTTGGGTTCAGCAGGAGGTGGCTGGGCTGGGTTGAGCAGGGAATGCCCAAGGAATGTCCAGGCAGGCTGGGCTGAGCAGGGAATGCCCAGGGAATGCCCAGGCAGGCTGGGATTGCCGGGGGTGAGCCTGGAGCAGGAGCAGCGAGGCCGTGGTGGTGCCGTGACCCTGAGGAGCCGCCGGCAGGGCCGTGGTGCTGTGGGGGTGGCTGATGTGGAGCCAAGGCTGTGGGTGGGGGGAATTTTGGAGCTTGGTCCTGCTCAGGCCTTTTGGCTGGTCCTGAGGCCCCTCTGTGGGGCAGCTTTTGGCTCCAGCCCATGGCTGGAACACCCTGTCCTGCTGCTTTCACTCCCAAAAGTCCTGTGGGAGCAAGTGGGGCATTGCCACCCCACTGCTGTGCCACTTCAGGGGGGATCCCAGGTTTGGGAGCAGCTCCTGCTCTGCATCCCAGCTTGTGTGCATCCCACTCTGATCCTGCTGTCGCCTCTCCTTGGTCTGAGCCCTGTCCCATCCCACCTCTCCCTGTAGGCTCAGACAGAGCTGTTGGTCCTGGAGCGACCTCAGGAGAGGGACTGCAGCGGTTTTAGGGTGTGCAGGAGACTTTGTGGGGAGGCAAGCAGGCTCAAAACCCTCCAGTGGAACCTGCCTGCAGCTGCAGGACTATGGAAGTTTATCCCACGTGGAATGATGGCCTTGTTGGGGTCAGCACAGCCGAGGATTCCCTATCTCCCTGTCACAGACAGGACTGAGGGAAGGCAGAGCGTGGTGAAGCCCATCCTGGTGGGATTCCCCTTCCCAGCATCCTGGTGTCAGTGGGGCAGCTCAGTGTGGGCTGGATGAAGGGTTTGGAGGAGATTGGGGTGCTGCCACCCTGCAAATCCCTTGGGCTCCCAGGGAAACACCTCTCCAACCCCTATGGATCATGCTGTGCCCGCCATGGGGAGCCCTGGCATCGCCATCCCTGAAACACCCCCAAACCTTGGGATGTCTCATCCATGGGCATCCCTGCTTTCCACCACACTGCTTTCCACCACAAAACCAGGGGGATTCCCACATGGGGAGTGGCAGTGGGTGAATCCCAGGGCCAGATTCCCAATCCCAGCACACCGGGAGGGGTCTGGTGTTGTCCTGGGTTGTCACCAGTGTGAGCAGGAGCTGAGTCTGGCTCTGAGTCCCTGAGTCCCTGAATCCCTGAGTCCCTGAGCCACTGCTGCATCCCAAGGACATGACACAGACTCCAAGGCCTCACTCAGCACCTCTTCCCTTCCCATCTGGTGGCAGCAGAGCCAGGCCATAGCAAAGGGAATGGTGACCAGGAATGTGTGGACTGGGAGGGAATCTCACCTCCAGGGAGACCTCCCAGCCCTTCCATAAGTGCAAGCCTGGAATAAAATGGGTGAATCCATGTTTTTTCAGTTGATCCTCACGTGCTAAACTTTGATTTTGCTGGATTAATTAGAGGTTTTTCCTGACTTCTTTTTTTGTTTTAAACGACTTTAAGGCAGATGCGAGCATCCCAGGATACATCCTTTGGGATGGGTACCACTGCTGCAGCCTGGCTCCAGTGGCAGTCCTTGGAGCTGCAAGGCTTTTTGGGCTTGCTTGTGCCTTGGGAAAGGCTTCTGTGGAAGCCAAGGCAGTGTCTGGGATCAAAACATCAACCAACAGCACCTGGGGTGGGAATTGGGGCTGGTTGGCATCCTATGGGATGGCAGCACCGTCAGAGCAGGGGGATGGGAGCTGAGTGTCCATCCCAGAGCCCTGCCCGGGCTGTGGGGTTTTAGCCCTGTCCAGGTGTGGCAGTTGTGCTTTGTGGCTCTAAATTTGGGGTTTGGGGTGTAGGCATGGATGGGGGGAGCTGCTACCAGTGTGTTTGCCCGAGGTTGGGAACAGCAGATGGAGAAGTCGCTCGGTGCTGGGTGATATTCCCAACTGTCCTACAGAACTGTGCTCTCTGTGCTACCCCCACCCCAAGTCACAACCTGTGCCAGGGCCCCCAAAAACTGATGAGTGGCTCCAAGGATAACTCCAGGAATGGCAGTTCCCCTTCCCCAGACTGCCAGGGAAGGGGGAATCCTCCCGGGATCCTTTTGGCTGCTGCGTGAGAACGTGGATGAGGATGGGAAGAGACACCTTGGGAAGTTTGGCCGTTCCCAAACTTCCACAGTCTGTGGCCAAAGGAGATGCTGCCCTAGCACTGGGATTTGCCAAGAAGCTGTGGCTGCCCCTGGAAGTGTCCAAGGCCAGGTTGGACATGGCTTGGAGCAACCTGGGCTAGTGGAAGTTGTCCCCGCCCTGGGGGAGATGAGCTTTAAGGTCCCTTCCAACCCAAACCATTCCGTGATTCCATGATTCTCACTGCTTGATTCTCACTGTGCTTCTCCCCGGGTTACATCCTCCCAGGATTCTGGAGGGAGACATTTCAGCCCCTGTATTCCCAGGGATAGCCCCTGGGACCGTTTGGCAGCACCTGGAATAGCTGCTGTGCAGAGGCAGAGCCAACTCCCGAGCCCAGCAGGGCCTCGGGAGAGCCCTGAGAGGGAAAACGGAGCCGTGGAGAGGAACTCCCTAGCCCCGCGGTGCTCCAGGTGGCTCCGGAATAACGAGCCCCTCGGCGGGAGCCGGGAAGGAGCCGCTCCCATTGTGTCTCTGCTCCATAGGAAAGGATATTTGGAAGTGCGGGGTGACCTCTCCCCGAAGGCACGGGCTGATCCCGCTGTGCCAGGCGGGATGGGCATTCCATGGGCATTCCGGGGGTCGCTCTGGCTGGCGTAGCTTTGCCAGGTTAATTAACTCCCACCTCGCGCTCCCGCAGGTGGATTTTCCACCGCCTCTTCCCGGTCTCCAGGCAGGCCCGGCTGACGTCAGGGGAGGGGGGGAACAGCCGCCCTCCTCCTGCTCCTTGGAGACCTTGGAGACCTTGGAGAGCGGCTGCTCCGCTCCCGGTGCCTGCCGGGGGAGCGGGGGAGCAGCCGCTCCCCGCCCCGCTGGGCTTTGGGGTGACGGGAGAATCCTGCTGGGAGTGACGGGAAGAGGCTGGAAAGCCCCGTCAGAGGTGACCCCTCGTCTCACGTGGAGTGGGGACATCCCTCCCCTACCATAACCCACCCACGGGCAAGCAGGGACTTTGTTTTCCAAGGAGCTGCGGGATCCCCGGGACCTGTCGGCCCCTCCAAGGGGAAGGGGATCCCGCCGTGGTTTCATCCCGGTTTATCCGTGGAAGTTTGGAAACGGCCACAGCTCTTCCCGAGGCGCCTCTTCCCATCCTCACCCCCGCGTCCACGCAGCATCCCGGGAGGGCTCCCCCTTCCTCGCGGGAGCAGGGAGAGGGGACTGCCAGTCCCGCGGTTATCCTGGGAGCCACTCACCGGTTTCTGGGAATCCTGATCCACGTTTTGACGTGGGGTGGGGGTAGTACAGAGAGCACAGTTCCGTGGGACAGCCGGGAATATCACCCAGCACCGAGGAGAAATGGGGAACCGCCAATCCTGGAGTTATCCTCGGAGCCACCCACGGGTTTCTGGGAAAGCTGATCCATGTTTTGGGTCTTTTTCCCTCTCGCTGGCGCAGGGAGAGACACTGGGAAGGGTGTGAAAAGCGACCCCCCTGCTCCAAGGAAGGTGTTGGGGTGCCCTCCCAGTCCCCTCAGCAGCATTCCCGGCTGGACCAGAGGTGTATTCCCAAACAGTGAGGAGTGGGGGGGAATACATGGAATTCCAGCCCCTCTGCTTACACCCCACCCTCACAGCACCCTCTGTCCGATTCCAGAGGGGGAAACTGAGGCGGGGTGGGGGGGGAAGCTGAGGGGATTGTGCCACGGCAGGAGCGCAGCACAGCAGCAATTCCCACCCTGGGAGAACCTCCATCCCGGGATGAGCAGCGGCTCCAGGGAGGGACGGCACCTCTGCAGCCTCGGGATGGGGTTTTCCCTGCGGGACGGGGCCACCTCCTTGGCTTCCCTTTCCAACTCCAGCAAAACACCGAGTGCTTCGGGGCTCCACAGAGGATTTTTTGGGGATTGTTTTTCCCTGGATGGAGCCGATCCATGGGCCAGAGCACCAGCCCACTCCTGGGGGTCCCAGCTGGCTCCTCTTTGGAAGGGTTTGGGGGTGAATTTGCCCCACCTGGAAATTAAAACTCCTCCATTTTCCCCACCTTTCCCCCATTCCCAGCTCCCAGGACACCTCTGCGTGGTGGGGGTGGTGGTGGGAGCTGCCCTGTCCCCGCTCCCTGATCCCGGCACTGGTGGCTCAGCCATCACCTTTATTCCCCCCTGGGCTCCCAGAGGGGGAGCTTGGATGGAGAACAGGCAGTGGGGGGTGGAGATGAGTTTTTCGGGATGGGTTTTCCGGGTGTTTTGCTGCAGCTGTGGGAGTGTAAGGACATTTTTTGGGGAGGCAGGAGCCGCCTCTGTGTGTGTTTGAGGCGCCTGCTGCTGTTGCAGCTCTGAGGGCCTGAGGTGTGTTTGGGATGTGTGAACAGGGCTGACCCTGAAACCCCTGAAGGGTCGTGTTGGGAGAGTGTTTTTCCCTAAAAAGCAGCCCTAGAAAGGGGGTCAGGGCTCTGCAGACCCTGGGTGGGGGGAGGGTGGGTGGGAAGGGAGGTGAGTGGCTTTGCTGTTCCTGTCTCTCTCCTGGGTATTAATTTTCAATAATTAATCCCTGTTAGCCAAGTCAGGGATTGGGAAAAACTGCCTGGCCGAGGTGTCTGGCTCCTGGCAGGGCTGTCATCCACCTGGAGGGGGGAACTCTGGGGGTAATGCCAAGCCCTGTGCCCGTCACCAGTTGGTACCATGAGGGGAGGGACCGGGAGAGGTAGGAAAGCTCTCCCAAACCCAACAGTAGCATTCTCCCATTTCTCTACCCCAAACCACCCCATATTTTGCCCCTGTATTTTTGGGGGGTGCAGTAGCAGAGGCACAGCCCCACCTGGTGCTGCTGGGGCCGGGGGATCACCCAGCTGGAAAAGCAGGAGCAGCAAATCCTGGCAGCTTCTCAGCAGGGAAAGGAGAGGGGCAGGAGCTCAGTAGCTTTATTTTGGGAGCTGCAAATGTCACCTCGTGGTGGGAGAGCTTGGGGGGGACAATCAGGGCTGGAGTGGGAGGGTAAAAAGGAGCCAAGAGAGGTTGTGGTTTCAGCCCTGGTGATGAGGAGCAGTGGGAGGAAGGAGGGAAGAAGGAAGTTTGGGTGTAAGAGAGGGGAGTGTGTTCTTTGGGGGGGATGTTTGGGGGGTCCCTTGGCACCAAGTCTGGGTGTAAGAGGAGTGTGTCCTTTGGGGCATGTTTATGGGATCTCTCTATACCAAGTCTGGGTCTAAGGGGAGCGTGGCCTGTGGGGGATGTTTTGGGGGTCCCTTGGCACTGGGTGTAAGAGGAAAATATGTCTTTTGGGGGATACTTGGGGGTCTCTCTATACCAAGTCTGAGTGTAAGGGAAGTGTGTCTTTGGGGGATGTTTGGGGGGTCCCTCTATACTAAGTCTGGGTGTAATACTGGGGAGCGTGGCCTGTGGGGGATATTTGGGGTGTCCCTCTGCACTGAGCCTTGCTGTAAGACTGGGGAGTGTGTCTTTTAGGGGATGTTTGGGGGGGTCCCTTTGCACTTGGGGCTGGGAACACCAGCAGGGAATGTGTCCCATGAGTGCTGGGCAGCGAGTGGGGTTGCTGTGGGTGCGTGGGAGATGCAATGTCTGTCCCCTCTGTCCCACCCCACACACACACCAGGGGTCATCCAGGGGATCCCAGGGGTTTTTTCCTTCTTTTCCAGAGCAAGCTGGTGAAGTACTTCAGCAGGCAGCTGTCCTGCAAGAGGAAGGTGGCCCTGCAGGAGCGCAATGCCAAGCTGGAGGGCTTCCCCCAGCTCCTGCACTGGTTCCGCATCGTCGACATCCGGAAGGAGGTCATGGAGGTACGTCTGGAATTCCCTCCGTGGGCCCTGTGGTGGGTTTGGGGTCCTGACCCTCTCCAGGGGCGTTTTTTCCAGGGGTTTGCAGATCCTGACCCTCTCCAGGGGTGTTTTTCCCAGGAGTTTGTGGATCCTGACCATCCTCAGGAGTGTTTTTCCCACGGGCTTGGGCGTCCTGATCTTTTCCAGAAGGGTTTTTCTCTGGGGTTTGTGAATCCTGACCCTCTCCAGGGGTGTTTTTCCCAGGGGTTTGTGAATCCTGACCATCTCCAGGAATGTTTTTCCCATGGGTCTGTGGATCCTGATCTCTCCAGCATGGTCTTCCCAGGGATTTATAGATCCTGACTGTCCCCATGGGTGTATTTCCCAGGAGTTTGGGGGTCCTGACCCTTTCCAGAAGGGATTTTCTCTGGGGTTTGTGAGTCCTGACGGCCTTCCAGGGTGTTTCTCCCAGGGATTTGGGGGTTCTGACCCTCTCCAGGAGTTTTTCCCAGGGTTTTTGAGTCCTGACCCTCTCCAGGGGTGTTTTTCCAAAGGGTTTGTGGATCCTTGACCCCACGACTATGTTCCACCCACCAGCAAGGACACCCCATGGATGTTCCCAGGAGTTTGTGGATCCTGAACCTCTCCAGGGTTGTTTTTTCAGGGGTTTCTGAGTCCTGACCCTCTCCAGGAGTGTTTTTCTTAGGGGTCTGTGAGTCCAAGGAATATTTTACCCAGGGGTTTGGGAGTCCTGACCCTTTCCACAGTGGGGTTTCCCAGAAGTTTGTGAATCCTGACCCTCTCCATGGGTGTTTTTCCCAGGGGTTTGTGGGCCCTGACCCTGAAGCTGCCAGTCCCTGTGTGTTCCCAGGGTGGGGCTGGGTTTTCCTGCTGTCCCCAAAATGTCCTGGTGCTGAGCCGGGTCTGGATACACCTGAAACTGTGCAAAAACCTGGGATAAAGCTCAGGCTGCAGCTGTCCCACCTGGTTGTGTTGGAGATTGAGATGGAACACGAGGAATTTTGGGGGTGTGACCCGAAGCCGGTGGGTTCTCCCGGGTGTGCCCCGAGTCTGGAGGTGGGTTATTCCCATTTCCTCACTCCTGCCCCATTCCCGCCTCAGGAAATCGCCCCGGGGCAGCTGAGCCTGGAGGAGCTGCTGGACATGACGGATGACCAGGTCTGTGCCACCGTGGAGAAGTTTGGGGCCAACAGCGAGGAGTGTGCCCGCCTGAACGCCTCTCTGTCCTGCCTCCGCAGCGTCCACAAGTCCGGTGAGTTGACTCCAGCGGGATTGGGCTGGATCCAATGGGATTGGGCTGGATCCAATGGGATTGGGCTGAATCCAATGGGATGATGTTTAACGAGGCCAAGTGACATGTCCTGCCCTTTGGCCACAGGCTGGGGACAGAGTGAGGGCAGAGAAAGGGACCTGGGGGTGCTGAATGTGAGCCCGGGAGTGCCCAGGGGTGTTTCTTGGCATCATTCCATGGCATCTCGGCCTGGATCAGGAACAGTGTGGCAGCAGGAGCAGGGCAGGGATTGTTCCCCTGGGCTGGGCACTGGTGAGGCCACACCTCGAGGGCTGTGCCCAGGTCTGGGCCCCTCAGACAGGAGAGACACTGAGGGGCTGGAGCGTGTGCAGAGAAGGGAACGGAGCTAGGAAGGGGTTGGAGCAGCAGGAGCGGCTGAGGGAGCTGGGGGGGCTCAGTCTGGAGAAAAGGAGGCTCAGGGGGGACCTTCTGGCTCTGCAACTCCCTGACAGGAGGGGGGAGCCAGGGGGTGTCGGGCTCTGCTCCCAGGGAACAGCAGTAGGACAAGAGGGCACAGCCTTGAGCTGCACCGGGGGAGGGTCAGGTTGGACATCAGGAAGTTCTTCCCAGAGAGAGTGATCAGACACTGGAAGGGGCTGCCCAGGAGGGGGTGGAGTCACCGTCCCTGGGAGTGTTTAGGGACAGACTGGGTGTGGCATCAGCGCCACGGGCTGGGTGACACGGTGGGGTTGGGTCACAGGTTGGACTCGATGATCTCAGAGGGCTTTTCCAACCTGGTTGATCCTGGGATTCTGTGAGTCAGAGCACCCCTGTGCCCTTGGGCTGGTCGGGGTGAGTGGCACTGTCTTGTTGTGGTGACACAGGAGTGTGGCTTTAATGCACTGGCAGAGTGTTTTCCATGGATTGCAGAGCTCCTGCATCCCTGGGGCTTGGTGGGCACCCACTGCCTGCAGGGATCATCTCTGACCTGCTGCACTGAAGGCAGCCCTGGGGTGGAGGATTTTGGGGTGCTGGTGGGGTGCCCCAGCAGTCAGAACCCCCTGTGCTGGGCTGATCCCCCAGCGTGGGCAGCAGGGCAGGGGGGATTCTGCCCCTCTGCCCCCTCAGGTGAGACCCCCCTGCAGAGCTGCCTCCAGCCCTGGGGAACAGCACAGGGAGCACGTGGAGCTGCTGGAGAGAGGCCAGAGGAGGCCACGGAGATGCTGCCAGGGCTGGAGCCCCTCTGCTCTGGAGCCAGGCTGGGACAGCTGGGGGGGTTCACCTGGAGAAGAGAAGGCTCCAGGGAGACCTGAGAGCCCCTTGCAGGGCCTAAAGGGGCTCCAGGAGAGCTGGAGAGGGACTGGGGACAAGGCATGGAGGGACAGGACACAGGGAATGGTTTTAAACTAAAACAGGGGAGGTTTATATGGGATATTGGGAGAAACTCTTCCCTGTGAGGGTGGGCAGGCCCTGGCCCAGGTTGCCCAGAGAAGCTGTGGCTGCCCCTGGATCCCTGGAAGTGATCCAAGGCCAGGATGGATGGGGCTTGGAGCGACCTGGGCTGGTGGAAGGTGTCCCTGCCCGTGGCAGGGGGTGGCACTGGATGAGCTTTAAGGTCTGTGCGGTGCCAGGCGGTGGCAGCAGAGCTCCGTTCCCAGTCTCCGCTCGAAGCTGCTCCTGTTGGAGCCGAGCGGGGCCGGGGCTGCCCGAGGGTGCAGCGGGGGCTGTGCAGGGTCCGGCTCTCCAGGAACCACCTCCCAGCTGAGCCTTGATGGGTCATCGTGGAATCACAGAATCGTTCAGGTTGGAAAAGATCCTTCAGATCACGGAGTCCAACCATCCCCCAGCACTGCCAAGGCCACCACTGACCCCCCCTGTCCCCAAGTGCCACATCCACATGGATTTTTAAATCCCCCTCGGGATGGGGACTCCACTCCTGGGCAGCTGTGCCAGGGATGGGCAGCCCTTTCCATGAAGGAATCATCCCTGATATCCAATCTAAACCTCCCCTGGCACAGCTTGAGGCCATTCCCTCTCCTCCTGTCCCTGTTCCCTGGCAGCAGAGCCCGACCCCCCCTGGCTCCCCTCTCCTCTCAGGGAGTTGCAGAGCCAGAAGGTCCCCCCTGAGCCTCCTTTTCTCCAGGCTGAGCCCCCCCAGCTCCCTCAGCTGCTCCTGCTGCTCCAGCCCCTTCCCAGCTCCGTTCCCTTCCCTGCACATGCTCCAGCCCCCACTGGCACAGCCCACACCCGTGGATGGTACCACGGGAGCAGTGCCACGGTGCCAGCTCAGGGGGAGCACTGCCAGCACAGGGGGTGACTCTGGGGCAGCAGCAAGGTGGGTTTGGGGAGGGGAATTCACTTTTGGGTGAGCCTGGGGGATCAGGGACACCCCATTTCACAGTCTAACCCTCCCACTGTCCCTTTCCCAAGGATTCCCCTCCTGGTCCCAAGCTGGGTGATGGCTGTGGGCTGTTTAGCCGTGGCCCCTGCTGGGACCCTGTAGGGGGACCCCAGTCCTGCCAGATCCCCCTGATTTGGGGACCCCAGACCCCTCTGCCTGTCTCCTGTCCCTTCTGGAGGGGCTTCTCCAGCAGAGCTGCACTCCAAGGGGTGGGAGGCTGGAGAGGGAGCCCAGAGGGGTTTCCAGCTGGAAACCTCTGCAGGTTCAGAGCAGCCCTTGGGGACAGCAGGGGACAGGGCTGGTGGGAAGGAGGGTGATGTGGTTTCAGTGAGGAACATCTCCAGGGGGCCAGCAGCGTCCCCACATCACCCCTGCTTGGCACAGCATGTCCCAGAGAGGGGTCCCAGTTCCTGCCCTGGAGGGGTCTTGGCCAAATCCTCCAGCTGTGGGTGCTGGAGCCCCTCCAGCCTTCCTGCACGGCCTGGCACACTGTGGCAGTGCCAGGGGACACTGGCAGAGGGACCCCTCCACTGCTGCAGCCACTCCCACCCCGAAGTGGGGATGGCTGAGCTTGACAGGCACCCCTGGAATGCTGTGTCCAGCTCTGGGCCCTCAGCTCAGGAAGGACATGGAGGGGCTGGAGCAGCTGCAGAGAAGAGCAGTGAGGCTGGGGAAGGGACTGGAGCACAATTCCCATGAGGAGAGGCTGAGGGAGCTGGGGGGGCTCAGCCTGGAGAGGAGGAGGCTCAGGGGAGACCTCAGCACTCTCTGCAACTCCCTGACAGGAGGGGGAGCCAGGTGGGGTTGGTCTCTTCTCCCAGGAACCAGCAGCAGGACAAGAGGGTTCTGTCTCAAGCTGTGCCAGGGGAGGTTTAGGTTGGATACTGGGAAGAAATTCTTTACAGAGAGAGTGCTCAGCCATTGGAATGGGCTGCTTAGGGAGGGGGTGGAGTCACCATCCCTGGAGGTGTTTAAGGACAGACTGGATGTGGCATGAGTGCCATGGGCTGGGTGACAAGGTGAGGTTGGATCAAGGGTTGGACTGGATGACTTCGGAGGGCTTTTCCAACCCAACTGATTCTATGATTCCATGATTCTGTTATTCTGTGATTCTATGATTCTGTGATTCTATGACTCTGTGATTCCACGATTCTGTGATTCCCTGTGGAGCACAAGTCCCTCCACACTCTAACTCCCTAAATCCAGCTCCTCCTGCACTCCTGCCCTCCTCCCCTTTGGCATTTCCACTAAGTCCCTGTGCTATTTGAGGAAGGGCAGCGGTGCCACCCCCGGAGGAGCCTGGGGAAGGCTCTCAGCTGCTCTTTGGTTAAACCCCTTTGACTTTTAAAGACTGTTGCAAACAAATCCTGCTTTCCCCCCTCCCGCCAGCCGAGGGAATTCCCTGCTTTGCTTTGGAAAACCCACCCCGGCCTTTGGCTCAGCAGCTGCAGTGAAGATGCTGAAGCATCTTTGGTTCCTCTGGAGGTTCCCAGCGGGATGGAGGATCCAGAGGGCTGTGGGATGCTGGCTGCTCCATTTGCTCCTTAATGGGGCAGGTGATGGGGGTGCCAGCGTTGCTGGTGGCATGTGGCTTGGTGGCCCACTGGGTCCCTGCAGGAGGGAGTTTGCTGCTCTCTCTCGGGGCGTGGAATGTTTGTCTTTCCCAGCGCTCCATTTAACTCCATCCATCATCCCGCTGCTCCCGGGGGAGCTGCTGCTTTGTCCCTCTGGCATTGCAGAGATGCTGCAGTGGCCGTTCCTGCTGTGCTGGAGGGGGAGGTTTGGGATCCTTGGCACTGCCAGTTGGGGTGGGTCCATGCCTTGCTGGGCACCACACGCCTGGAGTGCATTTCCAGTGGGTGACACCATCCCAGGGGCAGAGCCTGAGGGATGCAGGAGCTCCAGGCAGTGGAGAAGACTCAATCTCCCTGAATTTCTGGAGGATCTGGGGTCAGAGAGCTCCACCCAGGATGGCAGCTGGGCTCCCTGTATCCTGCTCAATGCAGCATTCCCTGTCTCTGCCGGGTCAAATGGATCCATCTCAGGATTCCCCCTCTTTTTGTCCCCTGGGAGAGTGGGAGCACAGTCCCTGCCTTTCCTGGAGCTGGGAATGGTGGGATCTCTGGCCAGGCCAGGGTGAGACACTCACTGGCTGAGCCAGTGAGGTGGATGGTGGGAGCAGATCCCACCCGGCTGCTCAGGGCCAGATCCGAGATTCCCCACAGCCCAGGCAGCGTGTTTTGGTGGGATGCAGGATTGGGACTGGTGGAACAGCACTACTGGTACCCTGGGAATGTCCCCTGCGACTGTTGGGGACAGCTGGGACTGAGCAGGGTGGGGCTGTGGCTCTGGAGGAGGGGCACTGATTCCATGCTGCATCCATCCATCCATCCATCCATCCATCCATCCATCCATCCATCCATCCATCCATCCATCCATCCATCCATCCATCCCTCCCTCCCTCAGCTGGATTCCATTGGATGCTGAGCTCCTGGTTGGCTCCACAGCTCCCTGAGCACCAACTTGTGAGATTGGCACAGCCCTGAGAAGCTGTTTGGGAGCTTCACCTCTGGGTGCTGTGTGGGATGGGAGGGTGGAAAAGCATCCCAGGAAGGCAGGGACGCTCCCTTGGGATGCAGTGCTGGGATCTCAGATGCCCCAGAAGGGACCTCAGATGTACCAGCGTGCCTTTGAATCTGCATTGATCTGCATTTCCTCTCCTTGCAGAGCCAGAGGCCGTCCTAGCCCTAAAAATATAATTAATGAACAAGTTGCAGCCCCTCTAAAATCCATAATTTCTTGGCAAGGGCAGCAGTGGCCGATTTCTGGATGCCAAGATTTGTATTAATAAAGCAGGAACGAGGTTCTGCATTAACCTTTCCCATCAGTCTTCATTTAGCGAGTCATTAATTAGAGCCATCTAATTTCCTAGGCCAGTTCTGCCCGGGCAGGGGAAAGGGGCTGGATGCTGTTTCACGGTGATGAATTTTGCCAGGATGCTGGAAAAGGAGACACTTCCCATCCTGAGCATCCAGGGAAAGCCCTGGAGCACCTTATAAACCAAAAGCGTTATATTTATCAAACATAGTGGCAAATCTATATCCCCCCCACCCTTTATTGTGTTAACAAGCCTGTATTGGATTTTCCTGGGCGGTGGATCTTTCCTCTTGGAAGTGGTTATTTGATCAGCAGCCGAGGCGTTGGGTTTGAGCTGGGAATGGGATTAATTTGATATTAAATAAGAGCTGAGCGGGGCCTCTGAGGCTCGAGGGGTTGATGGGCTGTGACTGGTGAGTTCTGTGTGCAGGTTATTACCGATCCTACCGGGAGAAACGAGCTGGAGCTGAATACTGAGGAGTTGCCGCAGCCCTGGGAGTGGCTTGGGGACAGCGCAGGGTCAGCCAGGGCCATGAGCAGCAGGAAAAAAGCCCCTGGTTGGGGCAGATTTGGACGTGGTGCTGCTGCTGCGGGGTCGAGGTTGGAAGAGTCAATCCCTCCTGGTGCCCCGGGGTGATGCCAGAGTCTGTTTGGCCCCACGGTGAGGGTGTTATCCTGGGATTTTGGTGCAGGGAGAGGTGGCCGTGGGGACAGAACCAGCCACCAGGTGGGTGTCCCCATCTGCTCACCTGGGAAGGTCCTTTGGGAAAGGGGAAGAGCGCTCTGAGCAGCGGGGCTGCCCCGGCTACCCCCAGCTCCCACAGCAACATCCAATCATCCCCAGGGTTTTATTGGACAAATCAAAGCAAAACTTGCTTTTCATTGCTTGGAGAGCGTAGAAAACAGGTGCCATTTTCCCACCTCTGGATCCATCTCTGGATCCACCTCTGGATCCAGTGGTTCCTCGCTGCCTCCTCTTCCCAGGAGTTGCTTTTCCTGTTGCTTTTTAATGAAGTGGTTCAGGAAAAGCTTCTTCCCTGCTGAAGTTGGGTGGAGAGAAGCAGGGAGGCAGCACCGAAGGGATCGATAAGGATTTATCCAAGGGGCCCATCCCACCCTTTGGTGGCCACGGGGAAAGCAGAGGTGGCCCGTGGGGAGGGGGGTGGAGTGGCTGTGACTAATATTCCAACAGCTAATTAACATTTCTGACACAAAACCAACCCCAAATAAGTCAGGTTTTTACGAGCAAACAGCCCTGTGAAAAAGTGGCCGAAGGGGACTTTCCGTGGTTTTTCCAGCTGGGAATGAGCTCTGGCGACGCCGCGGGGGGAGCGCCGGGAGGGAGCGGGATCCGAAAGCGTTTAACAAGCTTTGCACAGAGAGGAGCTCGGGGATATTTCTGTTATTTGGTGCTTTTTTTTTTTCCCTTTCTAAAGCGCATTCCCGGTTTAAGCCGATCCCGTCGAGTCGCGTTCCCGCTCCCTGCCGCATTCCCGGCTCGGGAATAGGTTTTCCCGGTTTTCCCGGGGGATTATTTTTGCTCCCGGCAGCATCCCAGGGACAGGGGGACAAGGGGCCGGCCGAGCACAGGGAGATCCTCCCGTTAATCTCTGTTAATTAGCGCTAATTAGCGGCGCGCGGGCGGCTCCGAGTTATGCAAATCCAGGCGCGCGGGGCCGCCAATGGGACGCGCGGTCATTTGCATATGTGCGGGGCGATTTGCATACGCGCGCCGTCCCCCGGCGCGGGTTAATTAAGGGAGCATTTAATTGGGGTGACACTGGTGGCCTTGGGGACAAAGACCGAGCTGATGCCCGGTGTGGGGGTGGCCTTGCTGGAGGTGCCTCCACCCCTCCCCCACTTGTCACCTGCCGTGTCACCACCTGGCTGGGCCCTCTTGGTGGCCCTGTGGTGGCTTTGGGGCTGCAGCTCCATCCTGCAGCAGAAGTTTAATTTTTGTTTTGTTTAATTTTGTTTTTTAAATAGTTTTATTTATTTTTATTCTTTTTTGTGTGTTTATTCCTTTCTTTTTATTTCACATGTTTTTCACTATTATTTTTAGTTCCTTTATTGTTATTTCTTATTTATTTTAATTAATTTACGTATCTTTTTAATGGTTTCAAGTTTTAATTTGAATTTATTCACTGTTATTTCTATTTATTTTAATCAATATATTTTATTTTAAATGTTTTTATTTTAAATTTTTATTTTCTTTATTTTTTATTTGTTTTAATTAATTTTATTTTAAATGTTTTTATAGTTTTAAATTTTTATTTTCTTTATTCTTCTTTCTTCCTTATTTTAATTACTTTCATTTCAATTTTTAAATTATTTTTATTTCTTTTTCTTTCTTCTTTATTTTAATTAATTTTATTTTAAATGTTTTTATTATTTAAAATTTTTATTTTCTTTACTTTTCTTTCTTATTTATTCGAATTAATTTTATTTTAAATGCTTTTGATATTTTAAATTTTTATTCTCTTTTCTTTCTTATTTGTTTTAATAAATTAATTTTATTTTAAATGTTTTTATAATTTATTTGTCTATTTTCTTATTTTTATTTATTATTTATTTTAATTAATTTTACTTTCAATATCTTTTAATTTTTATCTTAAATGTCTTCATTATTTTAAATTTTAACTGACTTATTTTAAATCCTTATTTATTCACATTAACCTTAATTTCTGACATTTTCAATTATAACTCCACCCTTTAATTTTTCAATCAAAACATTCCCAGGCAAAGGCGAGAGCAGCCAATCAACAACCCAAGCAGGGAGGGGAAGGAGATGCTGAAAAAGGAGGAGATTTGGGGTTATTTTGGTTTTCCTTTGGGGGCGATCAAAAGGCATCTGCCCCTGGCAAAGCCCTTGGGTGAGACCCCGGAGTGTGTTCTCCAGAGAAACCATGGATACCCCATCCCTGGAAGTGTGTGAGGCCAGATTGGATAAACTTGGAGCAACCTGGGCTGGTGGAAGGTGTCCCTGCCCGTGGCAGGGGGTGGGGCTGGATGGGCTTTAAGTGCCCTTCCCACTCAAACCATTCCATGATTCTGTAACATGGAGAAGCTTCTTGCTGGGCTGTGGTGCCAGGGTGGAATCATGGAATGGTTTGGGACCTTCAAGGACCTTAAAGATGATCTTCTTCCAGCCCCTGCCATGGGCAGGGACATCTTCCACGGAGCCCAAGTTGCTCCAAACCCCATCCAACCTCACCTTGGACACTTCCAGGGATGGGATATCTTAAACACTTCCAGGAATGGGATGTCCTGAACACATCCAAGGATGGGATGTGTTGAACATTTCCAGGGATGGGATGTCCCAGACACATCGAGGGATGAGCAAGGAATGAGCAGGGCAGGAACACCTTCCACCGCTCAAGATGTCCCAGGGATGGGATGTCCCAAACACATCCAGGGAGGGGATGTCTTGATCACTCCCTGGAGTGGGACCCCTCAAACACATCCAGGGATGGGACATCTCGAACACACCCGGGGTGAGTGGGTAACGTGGATCCTCTCCCGCCCCACACGGCCGTGTCTCTGTGCTCTGTCGCAGGCGGGAGCCTCTCCAAGCAGGACTGGACCATCCAGTGGCCCACGACGGAGCCGGGCAAGGAGAACAGCCCCGGGTGCCAGGCGGAGCCGGGGCAGTGGGCACGGACGCACCTCTCGCAGAGCCCCAAGGTCCAGCCCAAGTGCGGGCAGCACCACTGCCACGGGGGCTCCCCCCACGCGCCCCTCTACACCCACGTGGACCGACTGACCGTGGAGGCTCACCCGGGGCTGTGCCCGCCCCTCGAGTCCGGCCACCGCTCGCTGCCGCCGTCCCCCCGGCAGCGCCACGCCGCCCACACCCCCCCGCGCACCCCCAACATCGTCACCACCATGACCCCGCCGGGGACCCCCCGTGCGCCGCAGGAACAAACTGAAGCCCCCCGGGACGCCCCCGCCCTCCTCACGGAAGCTCATCCACCTCATCCCCGGCTTCACCGCCCTGCACCGCAGCAAGTCCCACGAGTTCCAGCTGGGCCACCGCATGGACGAGGCGCACACCCCCAAGTAAGTGGGTGCCACGGGGTGCCGGGGGGTGTTACAGGAACGATTCCCGTCCCAGCTCCGGGGGGAAGGAGCTTTTATCCCTAAATGTTGGCGCGTGGTGTCTCTGTTTGAGCTCTGATGGGGGACATCCTTTGCGGTTCCGGCATTCGGCAGAGATATCGAGGCGGGGGAGGGGATGGCATCTCCTTAGCTCCCTCCTTTTGGGAGCGCGGGGTGGACGAGGAGCATTCTGAGGGGCACCAGGGCTGCTGGCTGGCAAGGGCCTGGAATGCCAGAGCGTGGGATGGGTGGGCTGGACGCGGGGGGCGTTTGCGGCCGCAGCTCAAGGATGGCCGTACGAGCCGCGCTGTGGCACGGCAGGACGGGAAGGGTCATCTTCCAGCTGAAGTGTGGATTTATGGATATGGAAAGCCTGATGGGGATGACAGTTTATATCCCGGCCACCTCCCGGCGTGTTTTCCGTCCCTGGCGGTGTCCGGAGGAGGCTCTCCGGTCTCTGCCCACATTCCCGCTGCTCCTGCTCTGCGGCTCCGGTGCCGGCAGAGGCTGCTGCTGCGCAGGGAAAGGATTCCCTGGTGCCAACACTCGCGCTCCATCTCTTTCCACCCCTTTTGATGTCCGTGCTCAGAAACCCCTTCTGCTGCCGCTGTAGGGGGGGTGGGGGGGGAAAGGGGACCAGTGACCGCCTTGGTGCATCATCTGCTCCCCCCGAGGATGGAGTGGCTGCTCCCTGCTACCCTCCCAAAGCAGGAGCCCCAGGACAAACTGCCCCGTTGTCCCTAAATTTGGGGTCCTTGAGGATAAAAAGGCCGTGCCAGAATCCCGGGCAGGGCTGTGGTGCAGCCTGGTTACTCTGGCACAGCAGCTCAGACCCTCCTGCCCATCTGCGGTGCTCCAGCTGGGACATGGGAGGAGTCAAACCCCTCTGTCCTCCTGAGCTGCTCCAGCTGCCCTGAGCTCCCCTTGGATTTGGGGTGGCAGATGTGTCTGGAGGCCTCAGCACCGTGGTGTCACTTGTTCCCCCATCGCACCCCCGGGGCTGTGGTGGCTGCTGGGCCGTGGTCGTTGCACAAAGTGAGGGTGGTCACCCTCCTTCTCCCCTGGGCTGGGAGGTTTTGGTCTCTAAAGGCTTTTAGCTTCTGGAAATTAAATTATTTCAGCTGGAAAATGCCTCTTGTAAGACCACCCCAACCCCCCTTGTGCTCAGGCATTGGAAAGTCATGTTTTCTTTGGTCCATCAGAGAGCAACACCAGGGCTGCAGGAGGGAACCCTCACTGAGCTGCCCTTCTCCTTCTCCTTCTCCTTCTCCTTCTCCTTCTCCTTCTCCTTCTCCTTCTCCTTCTCCTTCTCCTTCTCCTTCTCCTTCTCCTTCTCCTTCTCCTTCTCCTTCTCCTTCTCCTTCTCCTTCTCCTTCTCCTTCTCCTTCTCCTTCTCCTTCCCCTTTCTCCTCTCCTGCTTTTATTTGCATTTCAGCTCCCAGTCCATCGCTCTCCCCTCAGCCAGCGCAGTCCTCGCTGAGGACAAAGCTCCCCTCTGGTCCTCCCACCCTGGCTGATCCCCAAGGTGGGTGGTCACCACATGTCACCCTGACATCCTTGCCCCAGCCCTGGAAGTGCCCAAGGCCAGGTTGGATAAACTTGGAGCAACCTGGGACAGTGGGAGGTGTCCCTGCCCATGGCAGGGGGTGGAATGAGACCATTTTTAAGCTCCCTCCCAACCCAAACCATTCCAGGATTCCCTGTGCTGGTTTAGATGAGATATTAGGAAGAAATCCCTCCCTGTCAGGGTGCTGAGGGGCTGGAATGGATTTCCCAGAGGATGCCCCATCCCGGGAAGTGTCCAAGGCCAGGTTGGAGCAATATGGGCTGGTGGAAGGTGTCCCTGCCCATGGCAGGGGGGTGGAATAAGATCATCTTTAAGCTCCCTTCCAAACCAAACCACTCTGTGACTCCTCTGATTCCTGCCCAGCTCTCTCCGGTTTTCCCAGTGTCTCCAGTGCTCCCTTCCCGGTGGTGCCAGGCAACCCGCACTCCCGATCAGCGCATTAACGGAGGAAGGAGCCGACATGACTCGGGCTCTGCTGTGCTCACACCCCACCAGGGGCCACCGTGGCGCTGCGGGAGGACCCGGCTCGCCGAGAGCTGCTGGGAGAAGCGGGGAGGTTCATTTGCTCTGATGGCGCTTAATGATTTTCCAGGAGACAACCACTAAATCCTGCTTTCTAATCCCATTAGTGTTTCGGGATCGTAATTAGTGCGTTAAAGAGGCAGCTTCTTCTTTCCTCCAGCGCAGGCATGTTCGAGTCTGAGTTGTTTATGAGCCTGGATGTGGTGGATCAGACGTCTGGAACAGAGGAAAAGTGGCTTTTTGGGGCTGTTCTCAGCTAATTCTTGTTTTATAGCCATGCAGTTGTAGGGTGGGGGTGTTAATTTTCACCCTTCTGCGGTGTCCAAGTCCTCTGTGCTCTCTGCAGGAGGGTGGGTTCCTCCAGACCTCGAACATGGAATGGAGCTCATCCCTGGGAGATGATTTCCAGCCTCCTCTGATCAGCCCCTTCTGGTTCCAGCTCTGCCACTGGGCTTTGCTTTGGACTGGGGCTTTCTGTTCCCGGTGTTCCAGCGTGGAGGGAGGTCCTAGACTTGAGAGCTGATAGTTTGAGGACACTCCTGGGGATCCCAGGTGCTGGGTGGGATCTCCTGGGCTCTGGATTTACCCCCCTCCTGCCTCTCTGCAGACCGCTCTCTGGTAGGACCCATCAGGTCGGTGTCCCTCAGGCTGGACTGTAGAATCACAAGGTGGTTTGGGTGGGAAGGGACCCTAAAGATCATTTACTTCCAGCCCACAGTGATGCCTTCCACCAGCCCAGGTTGCTCCAAGCCCCCTCCAGCCTGGCCTTGGACACTTCCAGGGATCCAGGGGCAGCCACAGCTTCTCAGGGCAACCTGTGCCAGGGCCTCCCCACCCTCACAGCCAACAATTCCTTCCCAATCTCCCATCTATCCCTGCCCTCTGGCAGTGGGAAGCCATTCCCCGTGTCCTGTCCCTCCATCCCTTGTCCCAAATCCCTTTATCCCTTTATCTCCTCCCCAGCCATCCCCCATCCCCGGATGGGGCCAGGTAGACTCGGCAGAGCCAGGGAAGCCCTTGGTAAAGGCACAAAGGTCTGTCCCCACGACCTGTGGCTTGGGATGGATGGAGGGAAGCTCTCAGGGCACTCTGGGGCTGCTCCCCCAGATTTTTCCACCCCAACACCGACAGAAAAGTAAACCACCCCCAAATATTTGCGGCAGCAGCAGCCACCAGTTCTTCTCTGCAGCGAGGCCCCCACGTACCACTGGACTCCTAAACCCGCACGAGTGTTGTGTCCTGGGCCTTATTTCCGGCGTTTAATCCGTCATTTTTGTGCCCCAAGGCCTTCTGGAGCGGGGGTTAAGCGGGGGTGGGTTGTTTTTTTTTTGAGCTTGCAGTTTCCCTGCCCGGAGTCTCCAGCTGTTGGCCGTAACTCGGAGGTACGGAACATTTACTCCCAAAAAGATCCCCCGGCTTCCATAAATCCACGGTCCGTAAACGTCTCCCGAGCGGCCCTGAAACGGAAACAAACCATTTGGAGTGGCTGATAATATAATAGCCCGTTTAATAGCTCATGAATTCCACGGGCCATTTAAATCTTCCAGGGATAGTTAATGATTATTCACCGGGAAGGAGGTGGGGAAGGAACAAACTCAGAATGGAGGGGCTTAAAAATACAGAGTTGTGGAACACTAAAGTCCAGCTGGTTCAGGGTGAGGTGTGTTAACCCTTGGAAGGCAAGGTCTGCCCTGGGGGGTCCTGCCCAAAGAGGTGGTTGGGTGGTCTCTACCCTTAGACCTGTCCTTGGACTCATCCTGTGTCCTTGGACCTTTCCTTAGACCAATCTTTGTACTTAGACCCATCCTTTACCTTTAGACCTGTCCTTGGACCTGACCTTTGTCCTTGGACCCGTCCTTTGTCCTTGAACCCATATTTAGACCTATCCTTTGTACTTAAACTCATCCTTAGACCCATCCTTCATCTTTAGACCTGTCCTTGGACTCATCCTTGGACCCCTCATTAAACCCCTCCTTCACCCTTTGACCCGTCCTTAGACTCCTCCTTCATCTTTAGCCTTGTACTTAAACCCATCCTTCATCTTTAGACCCATCCTTAGACCCACCCTTCATCTTTAGGCCAGTCCTTAGACCCATCCTTCATCCTTGGACCCCTCACTAGACCCATCCCCTGGTCCATCCTTTGTCCCTGCCCCGTCCTTGGTGCCCTTCCCGCTGGGAAGGGGCGATGAGCCCAGACCCTCCTCTGCTCCCCAGCTGTGGCTCCTGTTGCCAGGCCGGCGTGTGGCCCAATCCCTGAACTCTGTGGCCTCCAAGGAGCAGCCCAGGGGGAGCAGCTGGGAGGGTGGCTCAGGGCGGATCCACAAGGAATTCCAGCAGCGTGAGCTGACCGGGCTGAGCCCTGCAGGAAGTGCTGACCCATCCCCAGGGGACACGAAGCAGCTGCTGTGGAGCACAGCCTGTTTTTGTGGTGCACCCAGGCCGGGTTTGGGCTGGGAGGAGGCTCCTCTGGCTCCAGGCAGCCTGATTTTGGATAAGTTTTCCGTGAAGTCTCCTTGCCCTGCATCGTTGCAGTCACATCCCAGGTGTTCTCGTGGAAAATCCCGTGGATTCAGAGCCTTCTCATGGTTGTTTTCCTGCCCTTCAGCCCCTTTGGCACCAGGGTTGTTCTTTGGGGTGGGTTTTCCCCACCAGGATGTCCTGGGTGGGTGAGGTCAGCTGTGGCGTTCACATCTGATCAGGTGATAGAACACGTCCCCAGCTTCTTCTTTTCCTTTTTCCTTGTTTTATTTCCAACTCTGAGCCAACTCCCAGCTCAATCCTCCTCTGTCCTGTGGGTGTTTTTCTCCATCCCACAGAGAAATCCTTTGGAACAGGACCTTCCCAGTGGCACTTGATGAAGTCCTGCATCC